CCAGCGTGACTAAGCAACTTCTGGTGAACCAGAGCAGCGCATGGAAACACCGTTTACCTTTCCGCCGGAGCGGTACCTATTTATCTACTTGCACTTTGACGTGCTTTCGAACTGCTAGGTTGGCAGGAGCAGGGACTGAGCAACGGGAGCTCATCCCGTCACGGGGATTCGAACCGCCGACCTTCTGATCGGCAAGCCCTAAGCTCTGTGGTTTAACCCACAGCGCCACCCGGGTCCCTTTTTTATATGCCATCCTTTAATACAATTAGCCTCAATTTCACTTATTGTTGTTTTCATTCTGCTGCTCACAATTCGAACCCTGACCATGTTTCCATTTGACCATAACAGTTCTTCAAATAGTCTCCACTCTTCCAGGAACACTTCGCCTCTTTTATCTCTTGTTTTTGCTCTCCATTTCCACATAGTCCATCAACTTTTGAAGCCATTCCTCTATAGTTGGGGCTTTTCCTGTCTGTTTCTGTGCAAAGGGCCGATTTCCATTCCTGTGGAAGGACTTCCAGTGTGCAAGGAGTTAACTGCTGGCAAGCTGCTCCTTCGCTGTCTGAGGAGGAGTCATGCTCTGCATGTCCAGGCGGCAGCACCAGGCCCACCTGCCTGTGCATGTCTCCTCAGAAGTAAGCCCTGCTGGGCTTACTTCTAATCCAAAGTGCGGCTGCTAGACTGCTGACTGGGGAGCGGCCGCCGAGACCACATAAAAAAGGATGTCACATAGAGGAGGGAGAAAGGCTGTTTCTGCTGTCCAGAGAAGCGGACACGGAGCAATGGATCCAAACTACAAGAAAGAAGATTCCACCTCAACATTAGGAAGAACTTCCTGACAGTAAGAGCTGTTCGACAGTGGGATTTGCCTGCCAAGCGAAGTGGTGGTGGAGTATCCTTCTTTGGAGGTCTTTAGCAGAGGCTTGACAACCATATGTCAGGAGTGCTCTGATGGTGTTTCCTGCTTGGCAGGGGGTTGGACTCGATGGCCCTTGTTGGTCTCTTCCAACTCTATGATTCTATGATTCTATGATTCTATAACACCGGTCTTGAAAGACCTACATTGGCTCCCAGTACGTTTCCGAGCACAATTCAAAGTGTTGGTGCTGACCTTTAAAGCCCTAAACGGCCTCGGTCCAGTATACCTGAAGGAGCGTTTCCACCCCCATCGTTCAGCCCGGACACTGAGGTCCAGCGCCGAGGGCCTTCTGGCGCTTCCCTCTCTGCGAGAAGCCAGTTACAGGGAAGCAGGCAGAGGGCCTTCTCGGTAGTGGCGCCCGCCCTGTGGAACGCCTCCCACCAGATGTCAAAGAGAAAACAACTCCCAGACTTTTAGAAGACATCTGAAGGCAGCCCTGCTTAGGGAAGCTTTTAATGTTTGATGGACTACTGTATTTTAATATTTGGTTGGAAGCCACCCAGAGTGGCTGGGCTGGGGAAACCCAGCCAGATGGGCAGGGTATAAATAATAAATAATAATAATAGTAATAATAATAATTAGCTGCCCCAGGGAGCAGCAGGGAAGAATTGCTGCCTGAGACGTCAGAGGGTGGCTTTTATTAGGGGGCGAGGCATCACACCAGGGGCCTGTTAAGGAAGTTTCAAAACTTGGGGTACCTTACTTAAAAGGTTCCCCCAACTTTGTTAGAATCTGGTCCTGTGGGTCTAAGAGTGGTCATGTTCAAGCAGGAGATTGCAGCCCAGTTAAAGGAACTAAACAGCGGCTGGTAAACCTGATTGTTTATTTGTTGCAACTAATTTTCCACTCCTGAGCCAGTGAAGAAGAAGAACCCAGAACAAAAGGTTACATCCGCTTTTATAAGTTCCCACAATTTCCCATAATATATTTCAAGAAGCATCATAAAAAAAATGTCAGAGAAGGCGGTGCGTTGTCAGGCAGAAATCTGAGTCCCAGACAGAGTCCTGACCCTCAAGGCTGCGATTCTCCTGCCTTTCACCTTCCAAAGAAAGTCTTTACCTTCCCGTTTGTTACCTTGAATCAGTTGGGGAAATCTATTCTTGCTGCACCTGGTGAACTCCAGCCTGGGTTGGAGGTCCCTACATGTACTGCGAGGGTGATAGGCTTCTATCTGGCTCTTTGCCATGTGGGATCTTGCCCAATCGGCCAGTTAGGAGGGGATCCTGTGTACACAGGGATTATGGCTTCCCCGTTCTGTTCATGCCACGACTCCTGTCTCCTTCCACTGTAAAAGAGGGTCCTTGGAGCCCCCCAACATCGCCTGACCGTGACTCAGGTTTGGGGTCACATGCAAGAGACTTCAGCCAGGAGATAGAAGCAAAAAGAGCAGCCAGCAGGCCTGATCTTTATTGTTGCAACAAGACCTTCCCACTCCCACAAAGAAGAGGCAGCCAGAAGCGCCGAACAATCGGTTTCACCCGCATTTCAAAGTTTCCCATAATACATCTCAGGATACGTCATCAAGGAACCATAGAATTGTCACAGAAGAGGTGTGGTCACAGGTAGAACCTGAGATCCAGGCAGGCCCCTGTCAATCAAATACAGCCTTTCACACATACTCCATCACAGTACAGAGGAAAACATGTACAGTTCCCGGGTCCCTGAGAGACACACCTTTGTCCTGTTAATAATATAATAAATAATAATTTTTATTTATACCCCGCCCTTTCCGGTTTAGAAAACGGCTAACAGGGCTCAGGGCGGCTAACAACAAATTTTAAACACTTAATTGATGCAACAAAAACCAGCATAAAATACAGTATAAAACGTGAATAGCAATCAATTCAGAATTCAAACATCAGTTTCGGGGGGAAATCCATCCAATAAACATTAGATGATCCCCAGGGCTAGCTGGCTAAATTAGTCCCATTTGGGCCAGCGAGGAGACCAGGGGAGAATTAGCTGTGGGATCTCAGAGCGGGGAATCTTCATGAAAATGGGAGGAAGGGGAATAAAAGATCAGGCTGAGTTCAAATGGAAAGCCAGGCGGAATAGCTCTGTCTTACAGGCCTGACGGAAGGAGGTTCAATCCTGCAGGGCCCTGGTCTCCTGGGACAGAGCATTCCACCAGGTCGGAGCCACCACTGAGAAGGCCCTGGCCCTGGGGGAGGAGAGTCTGACTTCCTTAGGGCCCGGGACCTCTAAACTATTCATGGACATTAAGGTCCTCTGCGGGGCAGACCATAATTTACCACTATGGGGCAGGTAGGCATTGCGATTGAGATGGTGATCTGCCTGACGCTCTTGGGGCAGGATATCACCATCACGACTGATTTGGAAGGCCCTGCAGAACTGACTGTACATCTGTGGATTACGGGGGGCTCTCTCACCCCGCCCCTTATACCTCACTTCCCTGGGTCCTAAATGCCATTGGAACTGAGAAGATGGATGCAGCAAGTGATGTCTTGTGAGAGTTTTCCCATTGAGCCTGTACATAGATACATTTACCAGCGAATTGCTAGATTTGGTTCTGACACTTCCCCTGTTTTCCTTTGTTGGAGACCTGGGGCTCAGGGGGGAGTCAGGGGCTCCTTCTGCAAACTGAGCTGAGCTTCCCTTGCAGAGGCCTTTGCAGATGTGTTGCTGTCAATTTTCTGGACATTTGGCGCTGCTCTCAGGGACCTGGAGTTTCTGATTAGACAGGCACTTTGTGAATGGAGCCTTGAACCTGAACGAATGAGGTTTTGGTGATGTTCAGGGTGGTGACACAAGACTTTCCCGTCTAATTTCCCTGTAACACCCTGTACCTCTGGATAACAACTTTATTACCACTGGAACGGGGTAAAAACTTGCATTAACCAGATTTCTGTTGCATTTCCGCATCTTTCCCATTCATTGGAGGCTCATAGTGGAGAGTTCCTTCCTTTTCCCAGAAGCAGCCCAGCCTGCCATTTGCATTTCCCCCCTGTAGGGGCTGCTGTTCCATAAGGGAGATTTAAAGGTGAAATGTGCCCTGATTGGCCAGCTGTCAAACAGAGCAGCTTCTGATTGGTCCGTTGGTTGCAGATAGGGGGAAATGAAGCTTCATGGCCTTATCTTGGCAAGGAGAATGTGCGCATGAGTCACAGGGCTGGTGATGCTGTGTGCGCATGCATTCTTGTCAAGCATGCGCGGCCGAGCATGATCCTTTGCTCTGGTGCCACGCCGTTGTCTAGTCCTCAGCTCAGAAGGGGCTGGGTGGGTGCCTTGTGGGTGCACTCTGTGTCCCCGGTGCACTGGTTGGGTGCCCCCAGCAGGAGGGGGCTGAAGCCAGAGCAGGCAGCGACCCCCCCTGGTTTCCCCAGAAAGAAGGAAGATAACGGACGTTGGACCTTGGAACATTGAAGGGAGCCTGCCAGGAGTGTCAAGGGAAAAGTGTAACGGTGCCCTGAAACCCCACCCACCCTCACCGGTGCTCAATGGTTCCTCTTGAGTGACAGAGAGCCCCCACTTTCCCAGACCCCCACCAGCTAACAGGAGGCGTCTCCCCCCCTCGCACCCTCTCCACCACCACCCCACCTGGCCTCTCTGTTGAGGCTTGTTTGCTCTGCAACAAAGAAGCCACGCCAAGGGGGGAGACTTGGGGCAGCTGCCACACCTTGGTGGGCCAGGAGCAGCGGGCAGAGCGGGGAGAGAGAGACCAGGCCAGTTGGCAGAGGGTGTCTTTCATAAGGGGGAGAGGCATCAAGTGTGTGACTGGCAGGGGCGGAATGCAGAGCAGTGGGCAGAGCTGGGATCTCCAACCGAGTCTCTCAAGTCTCTCCAGGAGGTAAAACGAGGAGGACAACTGGCCAGGGGCAATGACCAGGAAATGGTGGGAAGGGGACTAGATGATTTCTTGGGGTCCCTTCCAACTCTGCAAGTGCCACAGCACCCTGAACCCCCCCCCCACCTGGTGCTCAGTGGTTCCTCTTGAGTGACAGAGGATAGAGAAGCCCCCCCCCACTTTCCTAGCCCCCTGCCAGCCAGCTAACAGGAGGGGTCTTCCCCCCCAGGCCTGTCCCCCCCCCCCGTCCCAGAGAAGGAGACACAGGAAACCAGGTCAGATTGCAGAGGAAGGATTTATTAGAGGGTCAAGCGTCACATGGGGGCAGGAAGGGGTGGCCCCCACCCCACCCGGTGGGTGGCGAGACCAGCAGGAGGCGGCTGCTTCTCCCTGGGGGTGTCTCAGTGGTACCGGCGGGCCAGCGCATGAGCCACCACCTTGACCAGCTTGTGGAAGGCATGGTGGTAAGCAGGGGTGAATTCCTTCCCAAAGCGCGCGGCCAGCATGGTGATGAGGACCTCGCCCAGGAGCTGGAAGAGAAAAGAGGGGGGTGACTCCTTCCGCCAGGGGGCCCGTGTGCGGAACGCCCTCTCCCCACAACCCCCACCCCACACAGCCATAGCTGGCGGCTGTGGGGTCAAGCCCAAAGGCCAGCTGGGATGGATGAAGGGGTTTGGGGTCCCCTGGAAGGAGGCCGGTCCAGGAGGCAACAGACAGAACCCCACACCGTCCCAGGCTGGCATTGCCATGCCAAGAGAGGTTTGGTGCCAAGAAGCAAAGTGGCCCCTGCCAGGGACCTCCTGGGCTCGGCCTCTGCTAGCCGGACAGATCCTTGCTTGACCAGGGACCAGTCAGAAGGAGGGAGGGCAAAGGCCCACAGGCTCCATTTGAAGGGCCAGAAGGCAAGAGAGTCCATTGAGTTGCCCTTCTTTCCGAGGTAAAGGGGTTGGCTTGCTCAGGGCGTGGCTGAAGGTGCCCACGGATGAGGGGACCCCACACTGACTCGCCAGGAGATGACGCCACGAGGATTGTGAAAGATGGGCCAGGAACTCTCCCCTACTTGGGTATGTGGGTTTAGTTAAAATTCATTGATTTATATCTCTATATCGCTGCTCCATAAAAAATGCATCACGTAAAAATAATATGGTAAAATCACACAAAGTTCAAAACAAGTTAAAAGCATGAGAGAAGAGAAGGCTGGAACTTGTTTTCTGGTGCGCAAGAGGGCAGGATCCGAACCAATGGATTTAAACAACAAGAAAGGAGATTCCCATTAGATATTAAGAGGAACTTTCTGAAGATTAAGAGCTTTTACGGACTCCCTTGGAAGACTCTCCTTCACTGGAGGTTGTTAAGCAGAGGGTGAGGAGCCGTCTGTCATGAGATTCCCTCAGGGGGTTGGACTGGATGTCCCTCGGGGTCCCTTCCAACAGAACAGTTCTATGATTCGTGTGTGGGGATTGTGACCCTGCAGAGGGGACCTCAGGCACCCCCCCCCGCCCTCCCCCAGGCAGCCCTTGGGGCAGGCAGGCTCACCCCGAAGTTGACGGGGTCCACGTGGAGTTTGTCACAGTGCAGCTCACTCAGCTTGGCAAAGGTCTCCTTGATCTTGTCCAGGTTCTTGATGGCCTCTTCGAAGGAGGCCAGGACCTTGTGGCCGTGCTGCTTGACTTTGGCGTTGGCACAGATGGCGGCAGGGCTGGAGAGGTCCCCAAAGTGAGTGAATAATCTCTGGGTCCAGGGGAAGACGATCATCATGCTGGAGAGAAGGAAGGAAGGAAGGAGAAAGAAGAAGAAGAGGAGGAGGAGTTTGGATTTGACATCCCGCTTTATCACTACCCGAAGGAGTCTCACAGCGGCTAACGTTCTCCTTTCCCTTCCTCCCCCACAACAAACACTCTGTGAGGTGAGTGGGGCTGAGAGACTTCCGAGAAGTGTGACTGGCCCAAGGTCACCCAGCAGCTGCAGGTGGAGGAGCGGGGAATCAAACCCGGTTCCCCAGATTACGAGTCCACCACTCTTAACCACTACACCACACCAGGAGAGGCATGGATGGTCATTCTCCAGGTGGAAAGAGGAGAGCCTGCCCAGCCTGCCCAGAGAGGCAACCATCCCTGGCCTTACCAGGCAAGGGTGTCCCCACCCAAGGCGGCCACGTCCACTTTGCTCCACAAAGTGTTGATGAGCTGCTTCTCTTCGGCGGTCCAGTGCACCATGATGGCTGGCTGTGAGCTTCTCTCGGCTGCTGGAGAAAACCTTCTGGGCTGAGCTGGAGCTCCTTCCAGGGCTGGAGCCTTTTATACCCTGGGCCAAAGCTCCTCCTCCTCCTCTGGGGCCCAGCTTGGTGGGGCTGAGGAGCAGGAGGGGGGAAGAGGCTGGCCGTGGGGTGTGGCGCCCTGGGCCGAGCAGGAGGCCCCAGATAGCTGCTTCTCTCTAGAAGACATCAGGCCCCAGCTGCTCTCTTTATCATCTCCTCGTAAGCAGCAGGACCAGGACTGAGCACACAGCCCAGGAGACTCCCTGGAAGCTCACAGTCCGAGAGCCATTTTGCAGGGGCAAAACACACCCCACAGATCTCATGTGGCATTTAGACCCATTGCACAGATGAAGGCGCAATGGGAGCCACAAGGGAAATGTCCGGGATGACTCAAACCCAGAGCTTCCCTCAATGAGCCTCCAAAAAGGGGGTGTCTACAATTGGCAGGACGCCGGGGGAAGAGGGGCTGGAGTCTGGCTTGAAAGAGGGGGCAGTGATTTGTGGGGAACTGGGCCAGTCGGGAGGCAAGAGGCGGTGGCAGGGGACGCTTCAGCTGGAGGAAGAGGAGGAAGAGGCAGGCCAGGCCAGGGAAGGGCCAGGGGCTTCCCCACCTTCTCCTGAACCTCCATCTCCCAGAACCAGGAGGGGACTGAAGAGGGAAGGGCAGAGGGAGCCTCCGTGCAGGCGCAGTCTCTGGCTGTGAGGAGCGTAAACGGAGGGAGGGAGAGTCGCCCCTGTTGTTGCAGCTGCCCATAGAGTGCAGACCTGGGAACAGCTGCATCCTAGCGAGTGTTATATTGGGCAAGAAAGAGGTAGCTCTCTGCCATGTGCCTTCCTTGGCCTGGGAAGAGCCCCTGAAGTCAGCCATGCCAGCTCCATGGGAGGAGACAGAGCTGGGAGTGGATGGCTTTCAAGCACCGAGAGACTAGACTCCAGAGCTGGAGAAGAAGGTCTGTGAATGTTCACAGTTGGCTCTCTGCCGTGTGTCTCTCGTTGACCGTGAAGGGCAGCCCTTGGAGCTTCATGGAGAGGCTGGTGCAGGGAGATCATTTATTTATGATCCACCCTTCCTGCAAGGTCCCAGGAGGGGCTGCAAGCTCAAAGCGCCTTCTCGGTAGTGGGTCCCCGCCCTGTGGAACGCCCTCCCACCAGATGTCAAGGAAATAAACAACTGTCCGACTTTTAGAAGACATCTGAAGGCAGCCTCTTTAGGGAAGTTTTGAATGTTTGGTGTTTTATTGCTTTATTATTCTTAATATTCTGTTGGGAGCCACCCAGAGTGGCTGGGGAAACCCAGCCAGGTGGGCGAGATATAAATAATTACTACTACTACTAATAATAATAATAATAAACAAGAGTTTAAAGTAACTTGCCACATTTGTCTCTGTGGCCATGCAATGCCTCCAGCTGCAGAGGCAGTCTACCTGTCTCCTTCCCTGGGGAACCTGGGTGGGGAGAGGGCTGCAGAAGAGGCGCCTGGTTGGCCAGACAGGATGAGGCCCTTCTGAGGTGGCCAGCATGCCCACATTGGCCACAGGATGGGCCAGAATTCTCCCAAGGGAAACCAGCCCCCAGAACCAGAGCCCAAGAGGCCCTTCCCCCCTCCTCAGAAGGATCTTTGCCTCCAACCGACTGTGGAGCCACAGCACAGGCCTCCTGGCAGGAGCCATTGGCAGCCCCCTCTTCCTCCACGAAATTGTCCGATCTTCTTTCAGAGCCATCTCTGCCTCCTGTGGCAGGGAGTTCCACAGATTAACTCCGTGCTGCATGAAGAAGGACTTTGTAATCAGTCCTGAATCTCTTCCTGACATGTCAGAAGTTCCAGTGTTAGGAGAGAGGGAGGAAAGCTTCTCTCTTCCACTTTCTCCAGGCCAGGCGTCAGTTTATAAACCTCTGTCGTTTCGCCTTTTGCTCTCCCCTTTTCTCTAAACTAAAAAGGCCCAAACGCTGCAACCTTTCCTCAGCTGCTTCCTCCCCTGGATCATTTGGGGTCTCCTTTCCTAAACCTTCTCCAACTCTGCAATGTCTGCTTTCATGTGAGGCAACCAGAACTGGGCACAATCTTCCAGCTGCTGCACCACACATTTGTAGGGTGGCATTCGGATATTGGCAGCTGAGTTTTCAAGGAAGGGAAAAGACTCAGGTGGCGAGAATCCTCTGTCAACATCCCAATCCTCCCACCTCCCCCTAGAAATGTGTGCCCCCTGGTCTGCCCTGCAGCCCCATAGCCAGCTGGCTGCTTTTGGGGTCAGAGGAGAACTCTGCCCCATCTCCAGCACTCAGGTGAGAACCAGTTACCGCTCCAGTCGGATGTTGTGCACCATCTTGTCCTCAGCCTCGGGCAGCAACAGGGCTCTGCCACCCGGTGCCCAGAGGCCGAGGCGTCTGTCCCTCAGACCCCAAACTGGGGGGCGCTGCCCTTCCGTCTCAGCAGGCCAAGGACATGCCCCCGGATCTCCTTGGTCTTCACCCCATAGACGATGGGGTTGAGGGTGGGGGGCACCAGGAGGTAGAGGTTGGCCAGGAGGATGTGGACGTGGTGGGGGACGCTGTGGCCAAAGCAGTGGGTGAGGAAGGAGAAGAAAGCCAGGCAGTAGAAGACCGCCAGGACGCCCACGTGGGACCCGCAGGTGCCCAAGGCCTTGAGGCGGGCGTCTCTGGACGGCAGCCTCAGGACGGCCTGCAGGATGAGGACATAGGAAACCACCACAAAGATGGCGTCCAGGCCGGTGGTCAGGAAGGCGGCCGCCAAGCCGTAGGCGCTGTTGAGGGTGACGTCTGCGCAGGCCAGCTTGGCGATGCCCATGTTCTCGCAGTAGGTGTGGCGGATCACGTTGGTGCTGTTACCGGAAAATCCGAGGGCTCTCTTGGACAAAAACAAAGACACCAACCAGGATAACTTGGAGCAAAACAGCAGCCTGTAGGCTTGGCCTTTATTGAACTGATGCATCAGGGTGTTCCCCTCACTTGCAGGAGAGAGGAAAGACCCAGAAAAATAGTGTGCCAGGTCTTATAGAAACTTTTGAAATTCCCCTCCTCTAGGTCAAGCCCACCCCCAGAAACATCATGCATATATTACAGAAAGGAGGGGTTGAGGGAGGAGTTGGTGGTAACCTGAGTATCTTGTCACCTGGCTGGTTCCTCCTCTCCCCCCTCCCCATGAGTCACTTCCAGGAGACAAAGGGGAGTTTGCAGTTTCCTGCCCCCTGAGGGAAGATCTGATCATTGTCCTTTGTTTCAGTCCATGCTGAATCCACTCCCATATGCAAGTTCTTTGTGATCTTGATTGTCTTCTGTCTGGGATCATCTGGGCAGGGCTCCTGCAGATGTGCTGGGATGGTGGAGGGATTATGGCTGACCAGGAATAAGTCACCCCCCTTTGTTAGTTCTTGTCATATGGAGTAAAATAAAAATGGAACAGTGCAAATCCGATGTATGGTTGATTTTCTATGAATTTATAACAGAAATGTGGCGTATGTAGTGTGTGTGTGTGTGAAGTTTGTACAAGCAGAATGATTGGGGTGGGGGGGTTCCTGCTACAGTGCGGCAGTAGGGCAGCCTGCGGAGGAGGAAGACCCCCAGGACCACTGCACAGACGCTCCTGCCACCAGGCTGGCCTCGATCCTGGCCAGGGTGGTGCCAGTGAGGATGGCCATGTACCGCAGTGGCCGGCAGATGGCCACGAAGCGGTCGAAGGCCATGGCGAGCAAGATGGCCGACTGGGAGAGGAAGAAGGCGTGGACAAAGAACATCTGGGCCAGGCAGCTCTGGAAGGAGATCTCCTCCGATGACCAGGCAGAGAGCCACGTCGTTGAGGGCCAGCATGGCCAGGAAGATGTACATGGGCTGGTGGAGGGTCTGCTCCTTCGCCGCCACCAGGACGACGGCCGAGTTGCCCAGGAGGGCAATGGAGAACATGGCGCAGAAGGGGATGGAGAGCCAGCCGTGGAGCCGCTCCAGGCCTGGGATGCCTGTCAGGAGGAAGGAGGAGGCAGAGGAGGGCCGAGGGAGAGGTTCAGGGCCGCTGAGTCAGCTGCTGCTGGAGGGGGGCTCTGGGGAGGCTCAGGGGGTGGCACCGCTCTCCGCAGCCTGGAGGGGGGCACAGACAAAAGACAGGCAGGCGTCAGCAGAAATGCTGCACGGATCCTGCCTCCCCCCCCATCCCTTCAGGCATACCGGGTGTGTGTGTGTGTGTGGCTGGCCCCCTGGGAGGGATGCTTGAGATTCCTGCATTCCAGGGGGTCAGACTAGATGAACGCTTGGGGTCCCTCCCAATCCTGCCATTCCTTGACTCCTCCATGCCCTTGCAATGGCAGGAAAAACCCCTTTGCACCTGCCACTTTTTGGGAGAGCCAGACTCTGCTGTGAAGCTACCATAGCAAGGTAAAGTCAATGCACATATTAAAAAACAGGATTAAAAATGTATTGTATTGTGGAAAATGGCATTGCAGAAATGTGTGCATCAACCTAGACAGCATCTTAAAAAGTAGAGACATCATCTTGCCAACAAAGGTCCGTATAGTCAAAGCTCTGGTTTTCCCAGCAGTGATGTATGGAAGGGAAAGCTGGACCATAAAGAAGGCTGATCGCCGAAGAATTGATGCTTTTGAATTCTGGTGCTGGAGGAGACTCTTGAGAGTCCCATGGACTGCAAGAAGATCAAACCTCTCCATTCTGAAGGAAATCAGCCCTGAGTGCTCACTGGAAGGACAGATCCTGAAGCTGAGGCTCCAATACTTTGGCCACCTCATGAGAAGAGAAGACTCCCTGGAAAAGACCCTGATGTTGGGAAAGATGGAGGGCACAAGGAGAAGGGGACGACAGAGGACGAGGTGGTGGGACAGTGTTCTCGAAGCTACCAGCATGAGTTTGACCAAACTGTGGGAGGCAGTGGAAGACAGGAGTGCCTGGCGTGCTCTGGTCCAGGGGGTCACGAAGAGGCGGACACGACTAAATGACTACACAACAACAGCAAGTGCGTCAGGGGAAATTCGCACAGAACTGCTGGCAAATTTTCCTGGGGATTTTAAAGACTAAAACTGCAAATTGTGGCAGAAATGCAGGAAGCTTAATTTAAGGTTGTAAACCTGAGGAACTGAGAGGACCAAAACTGGCATTTGTGCCCGTCTTTAGCACTGGCTCTCTCTGCCCCCCCCCCCCGACATGAAGAGGCTTGAATGCGATGTCTCCCCCGCCTCAGTGAGCCTAAGAAAAACACCCTCCAGAGTCCTTGGAGTTTGGTGCCCTCCTTGCCCTTCCGCCTGGGGAAACTGGCAAGTGGGCAGATGGGGGGGGATGGAACACCCCCCCCTTTTCTCCTTGGCTCTCTGTGAGTGTGGGCGAAGCAGGGGTTCCCTCCTTGCCATGCCAACCATTTCCCCACTCAAAGACCCCCACCGCCCACCCATTGGCTTCCCGACCCCCATCAAAGGGCTCACGATGCCCACCCAGCCCACTGCCCAGGCTCACAGGATCAGGGCAGGGGCTGCAGGGATTCCTGGCATGAGATCTCGGCCCCTTCTCCAAACCCCACACACTTTGCAGGCTGCAAAACACCAGATCTCAGTGCGGGAGAGAGGAGACCCAGCAGATCAGGCTCAGTTGGCTGAGGTATATAAGCCGCACAGTTCCACCTTCTCTCCCTCCTTCCTCTTTTCTGCCAGGGGTCTCAGGAGAGTCTCCCCTCCCCTGGGCCACCCGGAGACTTCTGGGCCCCTGAGCATCCAGCTGGTCCTCTCTGGTCAGGCCCCACGGAGGCCCCCCTGGGCAGAGCCCTCTGCTGCCTCTCCCCACAGACCCCAGCCTTCCTCCTCCTTGGCACCCAAGATCTCTGAGGTCCCCTGGGGGCAAGTGGCCGGCAGATGCTTGGAAAAAGGAAGGCTGGTTGAGACAGGAGTTTCCCGGACTTGTGCAGCAACTGAACTGGACTTGGGGGGGTGTCCCATGGTGGGGGAGCCCTGCTGCTGCCCCCAGGGCCTGGGGGGGGGCATCTCTGGCCATGTTCCCAGAAGCCACCAGGGCTCCACAGTCAGAGGCAGCGATGCTTCTGAATGCCAGGTGCTGGAAACTGCAGGAGGAGAGACTTGCTCTGGGGCCCGGATCCTGTGTTTGCGCTTCCCCTTGGGGAAGGCTGGACTCGATGGGCCCCCTTTGGCCTGACCCAGCCTGTTCTTATGCTGAGAAAGAGAGAGAGGTTACAGGTAAGGCAGCCGTGTTGGTCTGCCGTAGTCGAAACAAAATAAAAAAATTCCTTCCAGTAGCATCTTCCAGTGATGGTCTCCAAGGTGCCACTGGAAGGAATTTTTAAATATTTTGTCTTGAGAGAGAGAGGTTGTCTGTTTGTCTGGACTCTTTAGGACGGGGCGGGTCCGGCTTGAGGAGCGCATGAGGGCCCCCAGGCCCCCCCCAAGTGGCTCTCCAGACTGTCTTGGGCCAGCCCTGTGGGGCCGGTCCAGGTGGGGTGGAGGCCACTCTTCCCAAGTCCTGGCACCCGGCTGACGGGCCCCTGGAGGAGCTGGAGGGGGACTTCTCCTGGGGCTGTGGGTGCAGCAGGAGGGTGTGTGAGTGGAGCAGCCCTGGGTGCCTCTGAGGAGACCTGTTTGTGGGAGATTTGGGGGATATCAGGCAGGAGGCGCCTCCTGGCAGGCGGCTGATAAAGGCGGCCCCTCCTGAGAGCTCCGCGGAGGAGACCTCAGCCTCTGGCGCCAGGAGCTTCTGAGGGGGAGGGCATTCGCTGCCTGAGCAAAGGGAACGGGTGGCACCAGCCACCTCCCTCGATGGCTTCCTGCTACTTCTATTTTCAAAGAACTTTGTGTTGTTGGTCTTTATGTTTTCGGCCATGTGTTCCTCAGAGTCCTTTTGAGCATCCTTTCCCGTCTGCTTGCACTTTTTTTATGGCCACATTCTGCGTTCCAGTTTGCTTCTCATATTACATTTTTAGGAGTTTCAGAGTGATTTGCCCCTCTAGGTTTTGACTTTCCAACTTCCTTCTCGCCAGGTTTCCTCTTTGGAAATCAAATGTGCCCCTGATGACACTCTATCCAAGACCAAGCCCCCCACATCGCCCCTCTTGCCCCACCCAAAGGGAGGCCTCCCGGAGAGGCTCTCTCACCGCTGCCCTCCCCAGACTGGCATTCATGGAAGGAGTGGCGTCGAAGGCGACCTCCATTACAGCTGTTCCTTGCCACACCCGCTTCCTCCCCATAAATGCCACCTTTCTCTCTCTCTCACCCCACAGCTCATTCCCTCTCCCTCCCCTTGCACAACTTCTCAAAGGCAGAGACTCTTTCCAAGACCTCGTCTTTATTGATGGAGCTCCTAAAGCTCTCAAGCCCTCCACTGCTGCTAGAAGTAGGTGATGGGGTCCGTCCTGGTGTGGTTCAGCTCATAACCGTGGAGCGTGAGATCACCTGAAAGGTTCTGGAACACACGAAGGTGGGCGTATTTGTCCTCCGCATACCGGACCTGTGAGGAGGAGGAGGGAAGAAGACAGAAAGGGTGTCACCAGCAGAGACCGCCTGACCGATGGTTCCTCTAGAAGCTAGAACTTTGTATGTACAGAAGTGGAAAGAGAAAGGACAACCAACGAAGGAGAAATGGCTTGTGGAACAGATGGAATATTCTGAAATGGTGAGATTTTGTTCTGTGAACCGCCCTGAGACCTCTGGGTATGGGGCAGGATATAAATCCAATAAATAAAAATAATAAACTGCCAAATTAAGAGGACGTAATTACAAAGCGTTTAAGGAGGAATGGGAAAAGCTGGTGGATTACCTCTCAAATTATCACCCATTTATGAAGTCATGGGCAGGATTTGAAATGTGAGCAGTGGATGAACGAAAGATTGAACGGCGGTTGGGTTTAGATGATAAAAATATTTCTGTTATAAAACAGCTAATAAAAATGAGTGAAAAACAAACATCAGGCAAGGAGGGTTGGAAAGTAAAAAAGAAACATGGTAAAGGTAAAGGGACCCCTGACCATTAGGTCCAGTCATGGCTGACTCTGGGGTTGCAGCGCTCATCTCGCTTTAGTGGCCGAGGGAACCGGCGTACAGCTTCCTGGTCATGTGGCCAGCATGACTGAGCCGCTTCTGGCCAACCAGAGCAGCACACAGAAACGCCGTTTACCTTCCCGCCGGAGCGGTACCTATTTATCTACTTGCACTTTGACGTGCTTTCGAACTGCTAGGTTGGCAGGTGCAGGGACCGAGCAACGGGAGCTCACCCCGTCACGGGGATTCAAACCACTGACCTTCTGATCGGCAAGTCCTAGGCTCTGTGGTTTAACCCACAGCGCCACCTGTTGTGTATATGATGATAAATGCTTTGAAATATTGTTGGACACTTAATAAAAATGTTGTGTTGTGCTGTGTTGTATATCCATCCGACATCTGTTTAAAAACCTCCAGGGAAAGCGAGGCCATCACTTTCCATGGGAGTCCATTGCTGTCAGATGTCTCTTGCCCTCAGAAATTTATTCCTAAGATTTACCATACTCAGATTCTCCTTGGAGAATGTCTCAAAACGGCCTGGCGTCTCTTAGCCTTGCCTGCCCCCTGGAGGTCCTTGGAGGAAAAGCTGATATAGAGATGCAATAAATAAACCAGCCAGGAAAGGGCCACTGACCTTGAGGAAGTAGTTGGTGCCAGCCACCACCTGAGTCCTGAACTCAGTAACCTCAAAGAGGTTGAATGCCTGGTTCACTTTTGCTTCCAGCTGACATTTCACCTGCGGGAAGAAGGCAAAGGCTGAGGGTTGTGGCAGCAGGAAGCTGAGGGTGGGAGGAGAGAGGCTTGGCTCACTCATGGGGGCCAGAAGAGGCTGCTGGAGGTTCCCTGGGACAGGCGAGGGGGGGGGAAAGCTTTTGGCACCAGCCCCTCCCCATTGGATGCCCTCCTAGTGCTTTGGCCATCCTGGCTGGGGGCTGGTTGGAGTTGTACACTTGGAGAGCACAAGGCCCCCAAAGCCTTTCATAGAATCATCAACTTGTAGAGTTGGAAAGGGGCCCCCAAGGGGCATCTAGTCCAACCCCCACAATGCAGGAATCTCAGCTAAAGCATCCAGGACAGAGGGCCACCCAGCCTCTGCTTATAGACCTCCAGGGAAGGAGAGTCCGCCGTCTTCCCAGGGAGACTGGTCCGCCATCAAACATCTCTTACTGTCAGAAAACCAAAATCTCTTTTCTGGTAACTTGAAGCCATTGGTTCAAGTCCTAACCCAGGGGTCAGCGAACTTTTTCAGCAGGGGGCCGGTCCACTACCCCTCAGACCTTCTGGGGGGCCAGACTATATTTGAAGAAGAAAAATGAATGAATTCCTATGCCCCACAAATAACCTAGAGATGCATTTTAAATAAAAGGACACATTCTACTAATGTAAAAACACGCTGATTCCCAGACCGTCTGTGGGCCAGATTTAGAAGGCAATTGGGCCAGATCTGGCCCCCAGGCCTTAGTTTGCCTACCCATGTCCTAACCCCTAAAGCAGGCGAAAACAAGCTTGCTCCCTCTTGCGTGTGACAGCACATAAGATATTTGAAGATGGCTACCATATCTTCTCTCAGTCTCCTCTTTTCCAGGCTAAACATACTCGGCTCCTTCAACCGCTTCTTTGAAAGGTTTTGTTTCCAGACCCTTGATCACCCTGGTCTCCTTCCTCTGCACACCTTCCAGTTTGTCAACATCCTTCTTAAGCTGTGGTGCCCAGAAGTGGGCGCAGTGTTCCAGGTGTGGTCTGACCAAGGCAGAAGAGAGCAGGACTATGACTTCCCTTAATCTGGACACTAGACTTCTGTGGATGCAGCCTGGAATAGAATTAGCCCTTTTTGCTGCTGCGTCACACTGTGGACTCATGTTGAGCTTGTGGTCCACTAAGACCCCTAGATCCTTTTCACATGTACAGCTAGCGTTGACATTTGGGAATCCTTGAGAAACAGGCCTCAACACGGCCGTCATTTTCCACAGTGAGTCAAGAAAAGCCTCTTAGTGCAATGAGGCTGGAAGCCAGACTTCCCCACCTCTACTCTGTCTGCAGAAGAGGCAGAGCCCCAGAGCCTCTCTCTGGCTGGTGGTGGTGGTGGTGGAGGGGGAGAGGAATCTGTGGGGAGAGGGCAGCTCACCTGGTCAGCGATTGCCTGAATCTCAGGAGTGGTCGGTTTGGTGGGCGATAATCCTCCAAGACTCATGGTGGCTCTGAAGGAAGATGTGCAGCAGGTCTGAAGCAGGAGAGTCGAAGGAGGGAGGGACGGGGAACACACCTTTTATTCTCAGGCAGCCCCCACCTCTTCTTGGGCAACATCAGGTGCAGAGGTGGCTGACAGCCAAGGCTGGCGTCATGTGGGACGGAGCATTGCTCATCAAACTCTGGCATGAGGAGACACATCCCATCTCTGACAGAGGAGGGAACTGCTGCTGGCAAGGAGAAGGGGGCTGCCTGCTCCCAAATTCCATCGCAACCCCTTGCGAGGCCATAGCAGACCTCAACGGTCACATTCCCTGGGGAAGAAGGGGCATCACAGTCCTCCATGCACCAGTAGCAGTTTAGTCCTGCTGACCACATGACCCAGAAAATTGTCTGTGGACAAACACCAGCTCCCTTGGCCTGAAAGCGGGATGAGCACCGCAACCCTAGAGTCATCTACGACTGGACTTAACTGTCCAGGGGTCCTTCACCTTCACCTTAGTAATTCTCCCAATTATGGCTTGCCTAGAAGAGACAGAGGCACTCCTGAGATGCACAAGGAAGGAAGAACCTGGGGAAACACCCGCTTCCCTGAGGCTAAAACCTGCCAGTCTCTGCCACCCACCTCTTTCCAAGGAACTGTGCATGACTCCTTTTGAGGGAGGGGAAACCTTTGACTCAGCTCTGCTGCTTGACATTCCGGTTCTGCTCAGCCCAACTATAATGATAATAATGATAATAATTTATTATTTATACCCTGCCCATCTGGCTGGGTTTCCCCAGCCACTCTGGGTGGCTTCCAACAGAACACCAAAATACAATAACCTATTAAACATTAAAAGCTTCCCTAAGCAGGGTTGCCTTCAGATGTCTTCTAAAAGTCTGGTAGTTGTTTCTCTCTTTGACATCTGGTGGGAGGGTGTTCCACAGGGCAGACGCCACTACCGAGAAGGACCTCTGCCTGGTTCCCTGTAACTTGACTTCTCGCAGTGAGGGAACCGCCAGAAGGCCCTCGGAGCTGGACCTCAGTGTCCAGGCAGAACAATGGGGGTGGAGACGCTCCTTCAGGTATACTGGACCGAGGCCGTTTAGGGCTTGAAAGGTCAACACCAACACTTTGAATTGTGCTCGGAAACGTGCTGGGAGCCAATGTAGGTCTTTCTAGACCAGTGTTATGTGGTCTCAGCGGCCGCTCCCAGTCACCAGTCTAGCTGCCACATTCTGGATTCTGCATTGTAGTTTCCGGGTCACCTTCAAAGGTAGCCCCACGTAGAGAGCATTGCAGTAGTCCAAGCAGGAGATACCAGAGATAACTAGAAGGGGCATTAATTTAACGATGTGAATGTGATTATTGCGCACCTTGTTGAGCATGCAAATTGTGCAGAATATGTGCATGTTCTGGTAAATACAAGTAGCTGGTTTGGGAGGTGGGGGTGTAGCCTCCTGAATGAGGCCAATGGCCCACCTAGGCCAGCATCCTGTTCTTCTCACAGCGGCCAACCAGATGGAAACCACCCGCAGGCAGGATCCGAGGGCACAAGAGCAACTCTCCCTTCCTGTGGCTTCCAGCAGTTGGTCTTCAGAACCATGGCTGTCTCTGACTGTGGATGGTCACCCTGGTTAATAGCCACCGATAGCCCTCTCCTCTTCCATGAATTTGTCTAATCCATCTAGGCTGGTGACCATCAGAGGCAAGACACATTTTGTCCTGAGAAGGCTTCATTTTCAAAGGTAGATTGACTGGGATCCTTGTTCAAGCACAAAGCAGGAAGTGGAGTTGAGCGAGATGACCCTTGAGGTCCCTTTGAAGTCTACAGTTCTGTTCCATGAAATCTTTGCCTCCTTTTTGGGGGGTACGTGTCTCAATGCCTCTCTCTTCCTCTCACCCACCGCTGGGTAGGAGCTTCAGAGTATCGCTTTTGCCTGCAAGAACAGCAGCCTGGTCCGTATCTGCTTGGTCTTGGCCCCCTAAATGATGGGGCTGAGCATGGGGGCACCAACAGGCAGAGGATGGAGAGGATGATGTCAGGAAAGAGTAAAGCCCAGAGATGCAGAAACTGAGGGTGATGGTGCTGTGGGAATGACAGGTGCCAAGGGCCTTGCGCTGGGCTGCCTTGGGAGGGCACCACGGTCAGCACCACTCTCAGGGCCAGCACCAGAGGGGAGTGAGGATGGCTCCGTACCTGAGTGGGGTGCTGATGGCCACGTGGTGGTCGAAGACCATGGCTAGCCGGACACCCGACTCTGTGGCCATTAAGGTGTGCAGGAAGAACGTCTGGGCCAGGCAGGCCTTCAGGCTGGTCTCCCTGGTGCCGAGGCAGAAGATGCCCAGTAGCTTGGGCATAATGGAGGTGGAGACGCCCAGGTGGGTCAGGGCCAGGATGGCAAGGAAGAGGAACATGGGCTGGTGGAGGCTGGGGAGACGAGCAGGAGGGAGACCTTCCCCAGCAAGGCTGTGAGGTCCAAGCAGCCGTAAGGGATGGAGAGTCAGACGTCAAGGGACTCCAGCCCCAGGATCCCGACCAGGAGGAAAGAGGAAGGCAGGTGAAGCTGGTGTTGCACATCTCTGCTGTTATGGTAAAATCTGGGTGCGAGGCTGCTCTGCCACCCAGCTCGTCGGACTAGGTCCGCGGGTCCCTGCGGAGGAAAATGAGCTCAGCCGGAGACAGGAGCAAGCTGCAGAAGATCCAAGTTTATTGCGCAACAGGTTCAAGGCGAGATTGAACCGCGAGAAAGGGGTGACATGAACTTTTGAAACTTCCCTCCATGTCCCAGAATACAGTGCAAAATACATCCCAGATACATCATGAATACATTAAGAAGAGGTTGGGTTACACAGATTACATCATGAATACATTGAGAAGAGGTTGGGTCACACAGGATTAACATATGGAGGAGGGAGGGGGGAATATGCAGAGCTGGAGATATGCGCAGATAAGCACATCCTGAGTACCAGTGATGAGAAGACAATGGTCCATGTATGCATAGTCTGCCACCTGGGATTGCCCGGAGGAAAGGCTTGGCAGAGTGATTTGACAGGATTAGGGTCTTGACACCTTGCTTGAGGGATTATGGAGGACAGGGGAGGTGTCATGGAGTCCTAGAGAAATTGAGCAAATTGGCACGTTGATTTTCTATGAATTTTATAGATTCTAGTCCCTTTTGACATTGACAATTGGACTCGGAGATAAATGGATATATTGTAGCGAAGAAGAAGGTGAAGAAGACATGCCCCCCCCCTTCCGTATCACTGCACAGGGAGGAAAAGGCGGACCTCTCCCAGTGTGGGAAGTTAACATCAAAGCAGTCAAATACAATGTTTCCTATTTGCCCAGAGTGGACACACAGGGGAATGTTGCTCCAGCCGGGAAGACTTCCTGTCACACCTGGTCTGGAGCATCCTCCCCCTGCATGTGACCAGGTAGATGGGTGTGACCCTGGCAGACCCCATGAAAGGGCTGGTCACGCAGCCATCTTCCTCTTATGCTGCTCTCTCTTGATCCCTCCTCTCCATTTTGCCTTCTGCTGTCTGCCGGCTCTCAGCCAGCAGCGCATGGGCTCATCCCTCACAGAGGATGAAGCCACACCTTTCTCTGTAACTGTAACTAAAAGCTCAAGCCTGCCTTCAGGACCATACTGTGAACTGAATGTAAGCAAAGCTTATCATCATCATCAATCTTTATTACAGTCCAGAGACCCAACAAATCATTACAAAGCAATGCACAATTCATACAGTCTACCTCCAGGTTAAACAAGCATTTTGTTCAGACTTAAAGATGGGGATCATTGGTTCTTGCAACCACCGATAAAAACTTCACCACTGCTAATGTTCTAGCGTTTGTCCAGTCTTCCAATAGAACCTGACATAGTGAGCCTCTGTTTTTCCCAGGAAAGGTACCAGCAAGGGTAGTATCAGTTCAGCCCTGGCTTGCTCGTATTTTGCACAGTGCAGCAAAATATGTTTTATAGAATCGATGTCTTGAGCACACGAGCAAAGTCTGTCCTGGTAGGGAACTCCTCTCAACCTGCCATCCAACACTGCAGAAGGAAAGATGTTTAGTCTGGCTTTGGTGAAAAGCCTCCGATAGTTTGGTACTGTCAGGTTTTTAATGTAAGATGTTAACTTAAAGACATGCCCATATTGTACTCCTACTGCCAACAGACTACAGACTGCGTGTGATGGAGATCACAAGTCACTGTTTGTATTATCCCATAATCTTTGCTTTAACGTCTTTAGGGCGCCTTCTTAACCCAGGTAATACAGTTGGGGTGTGGCAGACCAATAGAAGTGGCTTTTCTAGCCATGGTTTTCTGCCATTTGCTGACAAACTCCTCATTGGTCAGGTGTTGGTACAAACCCTTCCCTAGATCAAACACTGAAATCCTGAGCCAATGTTTTAGGGCAGCCCACCACACTTTAGTTGAAATTGGGCATTCACCAGCTTCTAACAGAAGTATGGAGTTGGGGACGCAGTTAAGTACCTGCAGCAGAGATCGTAGAAATTTTGCCTGAAAGCCATCTAGCTTAGGCAGGTCCCCATTATGCCAGACATTTGCAGCGTACAGGAGTTGGGAAACGGATTTTGCCTTGAAAAGCCTTAAGGCTGCTGGAACATGCTTATCATTACTTTTTAAAGAAGACTGTTGTGTCATCATTGTTTTTAAGAGGGAACTAAAGGGGAATTTACCAGGAGCAATCCAATCTGGACAAGCCAGACTAGATTGCTCAATTTATATGGTTCTAACGAATCTGTCGGGACGTGGGTGGCGCTGTGGGTAAAACCTCAGTGCCTAGGACTTGCCGATCGCATGGTCGGCAGTTCGAATCCCCGCGGTGGGGTGCGCTCCCGTCGTTCGGTCCCAGCGCCTGCCAACCTAGCAGTTCAAAAGCACCCCCGGGTGCAAGTAGATAAATAGGGACCGCTTACCAGTGGGAAAGTAAACGGTGTTTCCGTGTGCTGCGCTGGTTCGCCAGATGCAGCTTGTCACACTGGCCACGTGACCCGGAAGTGTCTCCGGACAGCGCTGGCCCCCGGCCTCTTAAGTGAGATGGGCGCACAACCCCAGAGTCGGACACGACTGGCCCGTACGGGCAGGGGTACCTTTACCTTTACCTTAACGAATCTGTCAACTAGTTTCCTGCTGTGTACTAGGGAATGTGCTCTGCTACCAGCTCACTAGCGTGAGTGAGGAAGGATAATATTGAATCAATACATCCTCTCCCACTATCCACAACATTCTCACACCAGCAGCTACCACAGATGCGTCTCCATCAGCAGGGAGGCTGAGTGGACCTCCCTGGTCCGCCTTTTTCATCTGGATCCTGGAGTTCTGCTGCAGCTTCTGGGGAAGAACAGAGAGAAGGATCAAGCCAAGGGCCCGGCCAGCCCAGCCTCCTCTTCTCACAGTGGCCGACCAGATGCCCCAAGGGGGAAAACAACAAACAGAACCTGAGCACAAGAGCTGCTCTCCCCTCCTGCCCTTTCTAGCCACTGGTATTTAAAAGCATTGCTGCCGCCAACCAATGCTATTTAAGGACAAAAGCAGGGGCACCCAACCAAGGCATCCGAAGCATTGCAGGGACTCAAAACAAAGCAACACACACACACACACACACAGAGAGAGAGAGAGAGAGAGCGAGAGCGAGAGAGAGAGAGAGCGCACCCGTTCAAATGCTCAAGAACCAATGCTTATGGCCATCTTATCAGAATAAGGCAAAGGAACCCTATGAAACACTGAAGATCACCCAAAATAGCCATTTTTAAAAAAATTAGTTCCAAAGGTAGTAATGATGTTGGAGAGGAGAAGAGGGGAGAAGACCCGTGTTGCCCTGTGGGTGGGTCAGGGTCAGCCACAACCCCCAAATCCCCCTCCTGCCTGGCAGATTGGGCAAGATCCCACATGGCAAAGAGCCAGACAGAAGCCCATCCCCTTCACAATGCATATTGGGGAAACGCAACGCAGGCTGGGAGTTCACCAGGTGCAGCAAGAATAAGTGGTGCCAACTGATTCAAGATAATAAAGGAATGTTTCCTTGGAAGGTGAAAGGCGGATGAATAATTGCAGCCCTGAGGGACAGGGACTTTCTACCTGGCACCACACCTCTTTTCTGACATGATTCTGACATCTCCGATTAAGCTTCTTGAAATGTTGTATGGGAAATCATGGGAACATTTGAATTGGAGGTAACCTTTTGCTCTGGGTTCTTCTTTGCTTGCTTAGGAGTGGAAAATTACCGGTAGTTGCAACAAATAAATGATCAGGCTTAATAGCCGCTGTTTGGCTTCTTTAACTGGGCTGTGGTCTCTTGCTTGAACCTGACCAATTTTGGACCCGCAGGGCCAAAAAAGTTGGGAAACCCAAGACAAAATGTGTCCTGCCTCTGATGGTCACCAGCCTAGATGGATTAGACAAATTCATGGAAGAGGAGAGGGCTATCGGTGGCTATTAACCAGGGTGACCATCCACAGTCAGAGACAGCCATGGTTCTGAAGACCAACTGCTGGAAGCCACAGGAAGGGAGAGTTGCTCTTGTGCCCTCGGATCCTGCCTGCGGGTGGTTTCCATCTGGTTGGCCGCTGTGAGAAGAACAGGATGCTGAGACCTCAAACGGCTGGTGACTTTTGGGATGGTTCTAATAAAAGGTGCTGAAGCTCAACATCAAAAAAACGAAGATCATGGCCACTGGTCCCATCACCTCCTGGCAAATAGAAGGGGAAGAAATGGAGGCAGTGAGAGCTTTTACTTTCTTGGGCTCCATGATCACTGCAGATGGTGACAGCAGTCACGAAATTAAAAGACGCCTGCTTCTTGGGAGAAGGGCAATGACAAACCTAGACAGCATCTTTAAAAGCAGAGACATCACCTTGCCAACAAAGGTCCGTATACTAAAAGCCATGGTTTTCCCAGTAGTGATGTATGGAAGTGAGAGCTGGATCATAAAGAAGGCTGATCGCCGAAGAATAGATGCTTTTGAATTCTGGTGCTGGAGGAGACTCTTGAGAGTCCCATGGACTGCAAGAAGATCAAACCTATCCATTCTGAAGGAAATCAGCCCTGAGTGCGCACTGGAAGGACAGATCCTGAAGCTGAGACTCCAATACTTTGGCCACCTCATGAGAAGAGAAGACTCCCTGGAAAAGACCCTGATGTTGGGAAAGAGGGAGGGCACAAGGAGAAGGGGACGACGGAGGACGAGATGGTGGGACAGTGTTCTCGAAGCTACCAGCATGAGTTTGACCAAACTGTGGGAGGCAGTGGAAGACAGGAGTGCCTAGCGTGCTCTGGTCCAGGGAGTCACGAAGAGTTGGACATGACTAAATGGCTAAACAACAACAACAGCAACAAATAAAATGTGCTACTCAGCTGAGGACTTCAGAATTCTTAAATTACTGGCTACTTCAGAAGCACTTGCCTTGGTCTTTGCCCTGGAGAAGGAATCATAGAACCACAGAACTGTGGAGTTGGAAAGGACCCTGAGGGCCATCTAGTCCAACCCCCGGCAGTGCAGGAATCTCAGCTAAAGCAACTCAACTAAAGAATCTCAACTAAAAGAGACATGGAGCATCACCATCTTTTTATTTGTACCCCACCCATCAGACAGGGTTGCCTGAGCCACTCTAGGCGGCTTTCTCAACAATTTATAAAACCACAAGACAGTCAAGCATTAAGAACTTCCCTGAACAGGGCTGCCTTCAGATGTCTTCTAGAAGTCTAGTAGTTGTTTATTTCCTTGACATCTGTGCTCTAAGTGCCTGGATGGGGGAGATATCTCTATTCCTGGGCTCACACTCAACCTTTGAGTGGAAGAGTCGTCCAGGTGTGGGCAGTTGTAACTGATACGAGCCTCTGCAGAGGAGGCACTTTTACGCCATCCCTTAGTCAGTCCTTCTGGCTTCCTGTCTCCCCTGGAACAATTTCTGACGAGAAATCCCGAAGGGGCTCAGGGATGCCTGACCAGGGCTGTGTGTCTCCCTGCCAAGGCAAGGGGCAGCATTGGGGAACAGGGAGGCAGGAACCAGAGGCTTCCGATGGAGGTGGTGAGGAATCTAAGTAAAGGTAAAGGTACCCCTGCCCGTACGGGCCAGTCTAGGGTTGTGCGCTCATCTCACTCTATAGGCCGGGAGCCAGCACTGTCCGCAGACACTTCTGGGTCACGTGGCCAGCGTGACAAGCTGCATCTGGTGAGCCAGAGCCGCACACGGAACGCCGTTTACCTTCCCGCTGGTAAGCGGTCCCTATTTATCTACTTGCCCCCGGAGGTGCTTTCGAACTGCTAGGTTGGCAGGCGCTGGGACCAAACGACGGGAGCACACCCCGCCGCGGGGATTCGAACCGCCGACCATGCGATTGGCAAGTCCTAGGTGCAGAGGTTTTACCCACAGCGCCACCCGCGTCCCTCACAGCGCCACCCGCGTGAGGAATCTAGTGAACCCTAAATGCACACGCTTTTGCTGGATTAAGAGCTGTTTGGCAGTGGAACTCTCCTTCCTTGGAGGTTTTAAAGCAGTGGTTGGGTGGCCATTTGCCATGGCTTTGACTTAACTCAGTCCCAAACAGCACAGCTCATGGTCAAAGATGATGGGAGATGGGTTGCATGGATACCCGGAGGGCCACAGATTCCCCAGCCCAGTGGTCATCAAACCCTGGGGGCAGCACTGTGCTGGAGGGACTCAATGATTAATGCTGTCCATTGTCCCCCGACCCAGTGGCCTTGGAGAGATGCCCCACAGCTGGGCATACCTTGGCGCAATGGACCTGTTTGGGATGGAAAATGTCTCTGAACAGCCCCTTGAGATGCCCCCTCCCTCGTTCTCCACAGAGACACCATAAAGGCTGCTTCCCGCTCAGCCAGGTGGCCTCAGAGCGATGCTCTGCGCAGGATGCAGCTGCTTGCAAAACTCCACCAGGAAGCTCAGGAGCAGAAGAAGCTGCCTTAGGCTGAGCCGAACGACACCTTAACCTAGAGGTGGACCGCAGTGGCTGCGGTGGCTTTTCAGGGTCTCAGGCAGGGAGTCTCTCCAGCCCCCGGCCTGGAGTTGCTGAGCACCAGACCTGCATGGGAAGCAGACGCTCTCCTGGTGATTGACGGATCTCCCTGTGGCTCTGCAGGTGAGAGGGTTCGCTCTCGCCAGAATGGCTCTTCTCTGCCTCCACATGGGGAGGACGCGATGCATCTGAATGCCAGTTGCTTGTGACGTAAAAAAAATCCTGATTCCTGATACAGACTTTGTTCTAACTGTTCCAATGCTGTGCATTTAACCTTTTTTTAGAGAGAGAGAAAGAGAGAGAGAGAGAGAGAGAGAATGTACCAATGAACGTTTTGATTCCTGTGTGCCTGCCTTCTGCAGTTCTCATGCCTTCCTCCTGCACTGAATGCCGGCCTTATCTGACCCTAGAAGGACTCAGGGTGTTTTGCTAGGGTGTTTTGACAAGCCAGGGAGAAAGATGTAGGGAGGGATGCCAGTGGCCCCTCACGGAAGACTGGTTGCCAAGGCAACTGGAGGTTATGTGCAAAAGCTGAGACCCAGACATTTCACACTCCTGCACCTGTAACCCTTTTCATGTATGCAATAATCATAGAATCATAGATCTGTAGAGTTGGATGGGACCCGAGGGGTAATCTAGTCCAACCCCCTACAACGGGGGTTAGAACTGCAGTGTTGGCTCTAGCTTCCTCCTTGTCCCTCTTGACTCCTACCCCCTTTCTACAGTCGCTCACCTTTTTCCATTTGCCTCCATGCTCCTCTTGACTCCTGAATGTGAGACGGGTCCCTTGGCTGCCATCATAGGTCACCATGGCCATCTTCAGGCATCTCTACTCGGGTCCAAATGGTTCTACCTGCTAGCCTGTTTCTTTTTTCTTGGCAGGGATGAAGTGACCCACACCTGGCCAGATGCAGGAGGAGAATGCCACTGTCTAATGCCACCCACTTCCATTCCCCCATGTGTATCTTGCTGGGGGTCCCGGGGCTGGAAGCTCTCCACTCCTGGATCTCCATCCCCTTCTGCCTCGGCTACGTCGTCGCTCTCCTGGGCAATTGTACCATCCTCTTCATCATCAAAACGGAAGCCAGCCTCCACCAGCCCATGTTCTTCTTCCTCTCTTTCCTCTCGACCATCGACCTGGGCCTCTCCACCTCCACTCTGCCCAAGATGCTGGCCATCTTCTGGTTTGGCCTCGGGGAGATGAGCTTTGGCTCCTGCCTCACCCAGATGTTCTTCATCCACACCTTCACGGGGATGGAGTCTGTCGTGCTGCTAGCCATGGCCTTTGACAGGTACGTGGCCATCTGCGACCCTCTGAGATACACCACCATCCTGACCAAGCCACGGATCGCCTGGATGTGCGCTGGCGTGGCTCTGAGACCCTCTATGCTGGTGCTGCCCATTGCCTTGTTGACTCTCCGCCTGCCCTTTTGCAGCGACCACATCATCGTTGCCCACACCTACTGCGAGCACATGGGCATCGCCAAGCTGGCCTGCGCCGACATCCGGGTCAATGTCATCTACGGCCTCTTCACCATTGCCTTCCTCATGCTAGATTTGGTCCTCATTATTCTGTCCTATGTGCTGATCTTGCGGTCTGTTTTCCGGCTCCCCTCCAAAGAGGCCCGGCTCAAATCCCTGGGCACTTGCGCTTCCCATGTGGCCGTGATTTGTGTCTTCTACACTCCTGCCTTCTTCTCCTTCCTCACCCACCGCTTCGGACGCAACATCCCCCATTATGCACATATCCTCATTGCCAATCTCTACCTCATTTTGCCCCCGGTGCTCAACCCCGTCATTTACGGCATCCGGACCCGGGAGCTGCGCAGGAGGATCCTGCAGTTCTTGTTCTCCAAAAGGGCACCTTTCTCCAACGTCTCCTGATTATCCTGCCTTGCAGGGGGTTGGACTAGATGACCCCCAGGGTCCCTCCCCGCTCTACGATTCTATTTTGCATTCCTACAATCTGTTGAGTGGGAATTCGGATACGGAATCTGAGTGTTTTGTTCTGATCCTAAGAGATCCAATGTGGCGAAGGGACAGAGCTCAGAGGAAGGTCCTGCCTTCAGTCCCCAATGGCAGCCCCAGCTAAGGAGAGAAACCCCAGAGAGCTGTTGCTGCCAGTCAGTGTGGGGCTGCCCTGAGGTAGATGGACCGATGGCCTGATTCATAATTCTGTCATTCTATGATCCTGGCAAGCTGGACTCTGGCCTGATTCACTGCAGCACAGTTGGGAGGAGAAGAGGAGGAGGAGCAATAACTTTTGACAATGTGCACAAAATTCTTGTTGTTGTTGTTGTTTGATATCCTGCCTTCCTCCCTGAGAGGGACTCAAGATGGCTTACACTTAAGACAGAAACATGGAAAAAGAGTAATAATTTAGGAAACAATTACATATTAATGGAATTAATAGAAATACCTGGTATATTGTAAGCATTTAGAACATCCCCATAGAGGCAGCATGTCACCAGTGCTTTCATGCGAAGCCATCACTTCCCCAAAGCCTCTTGGGACAAGGAAGTCTTGACCTGCCGGCCAAAGACCCCAAGGAGGGAGCCAGGCTCCAGGAAGGGAAGTTCCAACGAATGCCGCTTGTTCACGTTAAGCTGCAGTTGTTGTTCATGAAGCAAGTATACAAGGCGGTATGCAAAGTGGGCGAATGTCATCTTCATGTCTGTTTCATCTTAATTTTGGGGAAGACACATCACTATACAGCGAGATTTAAGAATGCAATAAAGAATGCAGAAAAAAACGGGATAGAATATTTTAGGTTTTCCCTTATATTTGTAATTATTTTTTATGCACGTTATAATGCTTTTAAGGAAGCAATAAATGGGAAGGAAAAAAACTATCTTTTCAGACTGATTTATTGCAGTGCTTTGGCTTTCTGAAATGTGGTCCCCTCTGGACAACAAATATCATTAGCCACGCCACCCCACCCCCCCCGATGATGCTGGGGCTGATGGGAGTTGGAGCCCAAAGACCTGGAGGGCACCAGGTTGCAGAAGACTGCGATTAGGGCCAGGGGAAAAAATAAACTACTGTGTCTTGGGGTTCATCTGGGGCAGATATGGGGGGTGGGCAGGCAAGGAGAGAAGCTTGGTGCCTGTGGCTGGTGCAGGGCAAAGCAGGCAGACCCCCCCCCCCATGCAGAAAATGGGAACTGGCCCTGGAGAAGACGGGAGGAGGAGCTCAGCTCCGCAGGATTCGCAGGGAGGTCTGCTGACCTTTTGGGGTCTCAGGGCGCAGAAATGGCTCCTCTTTCTTGAAGGGCCCCACAGACCTCCTGGGACACCGGAACTGATTCCCTTGTTGCTTCTTTGAGTCAATGGAGGTTGCATTTCCTCATTTACATGAGGGCTGTTGCTAAAGCATGCAATGCACCCTTCACACCTGGTTGTGTGTTAGGAACACAGGCAGAAATGATTGTGCGTGTTCGTGTTTTGTATTTGTAAACTACCCCTGTCTCTGAGTGTGAGATTCCAGGGCTCCCAGGCGCTGACCAAAGATCCAATTTCCTTGGAATGAAGGTCAGCGTAGAGTGTGGTGTCTTTATGATATCTAGTTTTATTTACTCACAAATTCAACCAGAGTGTAGGATGGAGGGGCTCACAGCATTGACACCCCCAGCAGGTCTGGCTTCTCCATCTGGCGCAGCTTTGGCTCCAGCACAGAGAAAGCCGGTCTCTGGGTCTCCCACAACTGTCTCTGGGTCTTGCTTTCCTATCTAGACAGCCCCCCCCCCATTAGCCTGGGTTGCCCCCCCCCTTTGCTGCAGTTTTTGCAACCCAGATCCTTCTTTGGAGATGCTGAGGAGGACACTCAAGTGGCCAGAGAAGGCCCTTGTCTTGCCAAGAAACTTGTCTGTGGGAATCGTGCATCCATAATGCTATGGAAAGGGTGAATGTCTTCTAGAATTCTCTGGTGTCACCAGAAGAGGAAGCCGTTCTTTTCAGTCAGCTCTGTTATCAACTGCAGAGGATGAGTAGCCTTGGGAGTCTCTTGGGGAGATGGAAGTGATGAAAGGACTGAATCTGGGAGCTTTGCTCTGAGATGGGGGACCTTCGGGCAAAGGCCAGCAGAGAAGGGATGCTGTTGGCCGCTAGTTTCTGTTCCTCCCCACTTTCCCAAAGGGCGTAACATCTGAGGTCCTGCGGGAGGAAAGAGCGTCTCTGGGTCAGGGGCCAGTCTGGGCCAAAGTGGCCCTCCACTGCCCCCACCACAGAGTCCCTGGCTCTCGTCTATATTATTGCACTTCATGTGTTGTTTATGTGCAAGATAAACATTTGATATTGTGATAAGACTATATAGAAGAGTATTGTTTATGTGAATGCACAGCCGGTTACGTCTTGTGTGTTTGTCCATTCCAGGAACAGCATTCCTGACCCAGATTTTCACAAGAAGTCCCTAAGATGATTCCCCTTTCAAACAGGATATGTGAACCTGGGCCAGTAGGGCCCTTCTCTCTGGCAGACGGACAACCCCTTCCCCAAACCTCCACTTCCCCATGGGGGTCTCCCATCACTCACCAGGATGGCTTTGGCCACCTCCTGCTTGGAGCACTTTGGGGTTCAGAGCCCCCTGAGCTGAGCTGCCTGGCAGTTCTGGATCACCTCCAGCAGGTACAGCTGATCTTCCTTCAGCAGCTGAAAGGCAAAAGTCAGGCTGTCAGTTCCTCACGAAGGGAGGGCTTCTCCACATCCGAGAGTGCAGAGTGGGGGGCAAGGAGGGCAGGTCTGAGTCCCTGCTCTGGTTCTCCCCAATACTCACCTGTGGGGGAGGGATGTGCAACAGCAGCACATCTGCAAAGAGAAGGACGTGGGGACAGGTGAGTCCGTCCCTGAGCACCTGGCAAGGCTATTCCAAGAGTTTTCTCCTAGATTCCAAGTCCTACTGCAGGGGAGGGACATCCCAAGCCTTGGCGGTCAATCCTGGCCTCCTTCCCCCAGAACGTGGCTCCCCAGGGAAGGTGCCCCTCCGGCAGATAACTGCCCCCCAGCCCAGCCCCCTGCTTCCTCCACCAGACTCCACAAAACGGGTTGGCCACTGGGTGGATTGGGTTTCCAGCCGCTGGCCCACATGAACCTTGGGTCGGATCCAGCTATCTGGCTCTTTGCATCTTTTCACTAGCTGCCCCCCATGCCCATTCCTGCCCTCCTCTGTCCCAAAAAGGAGGGCCACTTGCTCACCTGGTGCCACGGGCTGCTCTGGGCCTTGCTGGGGGGCCACCCTGTTGCAGCGTCTGAAGAGGCGCCTTAAGCACCTGATCCTAGATGAGTGGAGAGATCGACTCAGAAGCCGGCAGCCCCAATTCTGGGGGGTTGCTTATGTGTGAGGAGGGGAGTTGAAGAGCTACAGCCATGCCAGGGCCCAGAGAGCCTGCCCCCCCCCATTTCTGCCCTGCTTGCTGACTTGACCTGGAGGCTGCAGCCCGAGAGCTCAGCTGCTCCCACCAGTGAAGGTACTTTCTTATGCATGCTTTTAATGCTAATATACAAAAGTATATCATTTCCCCTTCCAGAAATGCTGAATTGCTAATTCAGGGGACACTGAAGTCCTTGCAGAGATTACAGGACAGCTTTCCAGATTAGTTAGCTGGGAGTGAGGCAGTTGGCAGAGTGGCACTGGGCTCGCTAAGATGCCAAATACTACAGGAATTGCTTTCCTGAGACTTTTCAGCACTGCAATACCATTTCTTTAAAAGGTTGATTTTTAAGTCATGGCCGTGTGTGAGCAAATACTCCACATCTGCCAAGCTTTCAGGAGCAGGACTAAGGGGTGAAATGAAGCCCCCAGACCTCCAAAGGTTGAGGGAAATGGTCTATCTCCCTTCTTCCTTTGTGTTATCAGTTATTTACACCTAAGAAATGGGAAGAAAGCAGCTGCTCAAGTTAAGTGCAGGGTTTGCTGGGGTTGAGATTAACTAGCACGTTGAGTGAGCTCTGTCCTATTGCAACAGATGGATGCTGGCTTTGAAAGAAGTGAATGATTATGTACTACAATCAGTGGCGTAGCGTGGGGGGTGCAGGGGGGGCCGGCCGCACCGGGCGCATGTTTTGGAAATTGTACTGAATTGAATTAATTTGGCAATGACTTGTAATAATCTGGAAAAATCAATAAAAACAATTGAAAAGAACTTTGGAGAACTTTCTATCATTGTTTTGTAGCTGTGCCCTGTGAAAATCCAGTCTCACCTGCTGAATTGAAGCTCGGATAAGCAAAATCTCCCTTGGGATTTCCCACTTTAACCTCCTCCAAAAGTTTGAGGGAAAAGGTGTACCTCGTTTCTTCCTTTCCAATATTTGTTATTTCCACCTAAGAAATTGCAGGAAAGAAGTTACTCATGTTAAGTGCAAGGTTTCCCAGGGAGGGGAAAGAGACAGACAGAAATGTATTTACATGCCTTTATTTCTGTCTTTTCCAGCAGTACAGAGAAACGTGTCTGCACTCTCTAAACACCAACAGCAGAGAGAGAGACTCCTCCCCTGTACTTCCAGTACAGGTCAGATGACACCCTGAGCTAACATCCGGTGCTCAGTACAGTGAATAGACTGTCCCTTTGTTCCCACGGTACAGTCCCAAACATCAACATCCTGTCTGGCTTTCCAGCCAGCTGGAGCTCGCTGCTGCATTTCTCTTTTTTCGTAACATCCTCCCCCAAAAGAATCAATGCGTGTTGTTGCGAGCAAAGCTTGATCCAGAGAAGAAAACAAACAGTTGTTATACATATAACACTCCCCTGTTGTTTCAGTTCCACCCTTGGAACTCCCCACCACTGGTTTCCCCAGTGTACCTCTCTGGTTGTCTGGTTTCCAAGGAATGAGTTTGCGTTACCTTGGCTAGCAACTCTCTGTTGTGTCTTTGTCTCTGACTTAGACACAGCTTTAACCTGTCCTCGGTTGTGTACAACAGCAGCACATGCAACAGCTAAGTTCGCAAACTCTTTTGAGTACCTCTTGGGTGGTACACCCTTTGTAACCCTCTCAGACCTGCGTATGAGGTGCTGATCTTCTCTGCTCACTGGTTCTGCTTCCGGACTCCTTGGAGAACCAGTTCCAATGGTAAACAGTGGTTCATCCTTCATCTGTGAAGGTCTATCCATTGTGTGAGATTTCCTCTCAATGACTGTGTCAAGTGAGCTCTTTGAGCTACTACTGTCATCATCAGTACCACTGTAATCAGTAAAATCATTATCATCATCATCATCCAAATCGTTCCCTGTGGGAAATGTGTGAACAATTACTCTCTCCTGTTCAGGAGCACTCTCTAGAAATTTTGTGAGAATCACCTGACCAGATTCAGACAAAATTACTCTGTAGAGACCCTTTTCATAACCCACAAAAATGCCTCTGGCATTCTTTACTCCACCTGGAGCTTCTGTCCTCACATGAGACCCAAAAACCTTGAAATGGGCAACAGAAGGTTTTCAGAACAGCTTCTCAAAAGGAGAACTTCCCAACTCTTTTGAAACCTTTCTCAACCACGTATAACAATATGACATTAGCGACTCCGCCCAGAACTCATGTGGCAAATGTGAACTAAGCAATTGCGCATTCATCCCTTTCTGCAATTCTTTGTTCACCCGTACACAGACACCCCTGTTCCACGCTGTCGCTGAAACAGCAACCTTGTGCCTTATCCCTTTCTTCTGCAGGAACTCCTGAAAATCCTGTAAAAGAAAAATTTGCTTTTCATCTGTGAAAAGACAATCAATGTTAGCATCATGCATATTTTTAACCTTGTCACAAAACTCCTGAAACCTTTCTAAGGTTTCTTGTGGTTTCTCCATCATAAAAACCCAGACATAATGAGAAATGATCCACACACACAAGATAATATCTTGCATTGCCTCTAGATGGTGCTAGAGGACCTATCACATCAGCATACACCCGCTGAAATGCTCTGTCGACCCTGGTCACCCTTCTGGCATCCGTCTTGGTCACACCTGCGAGAGAAATCATGTTAGACTCAGATGAATTACATTCCATGTAATCACTTTGATCAAAAGTCAACAAATACAGTCCATCTTTCTCTTTGGCAGAAAGATACAACTCTCCATCTTTGAAGATCTCGCAGCTTTTGTCATCATAGGACAGTTTCAGTCCTTTCTTTGCAATCTGCGAAACACTCAGCAGATTGAACTTCAACCCAGGAACCAAGTACACATTGTCTATAGTCAAGTCCAGACTCTCAAGATACACAGTCCCAATCCCCAATTTGAACACTACCGTGGAAAAAAGAGTAATCTGGGATGCAAGCAAAGCAGTCATGAGAGGGTTTCTGATCCAACAGAATTCAATAAAGAAGAGAGCCCAAAATGCGAAAAAAGAATTTTTTTTGGAAAAAAATAAAAGAGGGTGAGAAAAAACTGAGAGCGAAACCCAATTCACAAGAGATCCTGAGAGAAATAAAGTTACATCAAGTGCAGTACATGAAGATGATAAACCAGGAAACTGAATGGAAAATTAAACAAATGAGACAAAGGACTTTTGAATCGGCAAATAAATGTGGGAAACCGCTAGCTTGGCAGATGAAGAAAAGACAAAAACTTATTACTATTACTAATTTGGAAGTGGAAGGAAAAAATATCCAGAATCCAGTGGAAATTAGGAAATGCTTCCAGAGGTACTTTAAACAACTATATACACAGGGGCCACAGAAAGAGTTTGACATAGACCAGTTTTTGAGAACAAATGGATTACAAAAAATCTCACAAGAAAATAAGATAATGTTGAACCATAGAATTACGGAACAGGAGGTAGAAGGTGCCATTCAGAACATGCAGCTGGGAAAATCTCCAGGGCCGGACGGCTTAACCTCAAAATACTATAGAACTTTGAAGGATTGGATAATTCAACCACTAAAGGAGGTTTGTAATGAAATTCTGGAGGGGAAAAAAGCGCCAGAGTCGTGGAAAGAAGCATTTATTACACTTATACCGAAAATTGAGTCTGAAAAGACACAACTTAAGAACTACCGACCCATATCCCTGTTAAATGTGGATTATAAATTTTTTGCTGACATTTTGGCCAAGGGGTTAAAAAAAGTATTAAAGGAAGTGATACATAAGGACCAAGCTGGCTTTCTTCCAGGCAGACACCTGTCTGACAATACGAGGAATATAATTAACATATTGGAGAAGCTGCAAGAGGATATCAATACAAAAGCAGTTTTAATTTTTGTGGATGCCGAGAAAGCCTTTGATAATATTTCTTGGAGTTTTATGAAGAAAAATCTTCAAGGGATGGGGGTTGGTCAAGGGTTTGAAAATGGTATAAGTGCAATTTATTCAGAGCAAAAGGCTAAATTAATAGTCAATAATGTGGTAACAGAGGAATTTAAGATAGAGAAAGGGACACGACAAGGCTGCCCAATTTCCACTTTACTTTTTATCTTCGTCCTGGAGGTTTTGTTAAACATGATTAGGAGGGACCATCTGATTAAAGGCATAATGGTCGGAGCTAAACAATATAAACTGAAAGCTTTTGCAGATGACCTAGTTTTGACACTACAGGAGCCAGAATCTATTTTTTTAAAAATAATTTTTATTAGTTTTCCAAACATATAATAAAGACAAACAATAAAACAAAACAAAACATACAAACATATAAACATGTATAATTTCATAATCTTATCTTCCTGCACCTTGCTTCCCGGACTTCCCCATACCTCCCCTTTTCTGCATCCTTGTTTTTACCTTTCTTCAGCAACCCTCCAACTGATTAATTAATTCACTTTCATTCTAATTTCCTTAACTAGCACCAAATCTAGCACCAAAAGAATATTAGAACTGATCCAAGAGTTTGGTCAGGTGGCAGGATTTAAGTTGACTAAGTTCAAAACCAAAGTTCTTGGGAAAAACTTAACAACGACCGAAAGAGAGAGGTTTCAGAATGAGACAGGTTTAACAGTGGTTAAGAAGGTGAAATACCTGGGGATTAATATGACAGCTAAAAATGGGAACTTATTTAAGGACAATTATGAAAAGTGTTGGTCGGACGTTAAAAGGGATTTAGAAATATGGTCAAATTTGAAGCTTTCCTTGTTGGGTAGAATTGCTGTTATCAAGATGAATGTACTGCCAAGAATGTTATTTCTGTTTCAATCGTTACAAATAATAGATAAAATGGACCGTTTCAAGAAGTGGCAGAGAGACATTTCTAAATTTGTCTGGCAGGGCAAGAAACCCAGAATAAAATTTAAAATATTAACTGATGCTAAAGAAAGAGGGGGATTTGCCCTGCCAGACCTTAAACTTTATTATGAATCAGCAGCTTTTTGCTGGTTGAAGGACTGGCTGCTTCTTGAGAACACAGACATACTGGATTTAGAAGGTTTTAATAATGTTTTTGGATGGCATGCATACTTATGGTACGACAAAGTTAAAGCTCATAAGGCATTTAAAAACCATATTGTCAGGAAAGCACTGTTTAATGTCTGGATACGATATAAAGACCTACTTGAAAATAGTTACAGATAGGTAGCCGTGTTGGTCTGCCATAGTCAAAATAAAAAAAATTCCTTCCAGTAGCACCTTAAAGACCAACTAAGTTAGTTCTTGGTATGTGTGTATCTGAAGAAGTGTGCATGCACACGAAAGCTCATACCAAGAACTTAGTTGGTCTTTAAGGTTCTACTTGAAAATAAAACCCCAAGGTGGTTATCACCAATGGAGGCAAAGGCTCAAAAAAGGCTCAATATGGAGGCCAAGTGGCCAAAATATTGGGAGATTTTGGAGCAAGAAGGAGACAAATTGAAACTGCAGAGTTTTGAGAAATTAAAAGATAGAGTGCAAGATTGGCTTCATTACTATCAAATAAGAGAGGCCTATAATTTGGACAAAAAAAATGGCTTCCAGGTAGAAAAATCAAAGTTGGAAACAGAACTGTTAGATCCCAAAACTAAGATACTTTCAAGAATGTATAACTTGCTGTTAAAATGGAATACTCAGGACGAGACGGTTAAATCTGCTATGATTAAATGGGCACAGGATGTTGGACATAATATTATGTTTGCTGACTGGGAACAGTTATGGACCACAAGTATGAAATTTACGGCATGCAATGCCTTAAGAGAGAATATTATGAAAATGGTATACAGGTGGTACATGACACCAGTCAAGCTTGCAAAAATCTATCATTTGCCCGATAATAAATGTTGGAAATGTAAAGAGACTGAAGGTACATTCTTTCACCTTTGGTGGACGTGCCCAAGGATTAAGGCTTTCTGGGAAATGATATATAATGAACTGAAAAAGGTATTTAAATGTACCTTTCTGAAGAAACCAGAGGCCATCCTCCTGGGCATTGTCGGCCAATTGGTGTCAAAGAAGGAGAGAACTTTCTTTATGTACGCAACAACAGCAGCAAGAATACTCATTGCAAAGTATTGGAAGACACAAGATCTACCCACCCTGGAAGAATGGCAGATGAAAGTGATGGACTATGTGGAATTGGCAGAAATGACTGGCAGAATTCATGACCAGGGAGAGGAGTCGGTGGAAGAAGATTGGAAGAAATTTAAAGACTACTTGCAGAAATACTGTAAAATTAAGGAATGTTAAAATGATGTTGGATGGAAAATAAGTGGTATTGGTAAAAAGCTTTTTAAGAATATGCAAGTATGGATTGATAATGGTTAAATATATATATTTACAATAGGTGATGATCTAGAGTTATGAAAAATGACAGAGGGTAAGGATTTGCTGAAAGGACTTTTTAAATGGGAATACAAAAGGGGAGGTGTGAGGAGGTCAAAGAATCAAGCAAATGAGATAAAGGATGATTGAAAGATGGAGTTAATTTTAAGCTTTTTCTGTTTTCTTTTTATATTTAGCTATTGTCATTTCTTCTTTTTTATATATTCATTTTTTATGTGTTTTTTCTTCTTCACTTTTTTATCGTTTTTAGATTGTTACATATGATTTTTGTGAATTGTATTGTGTAATTCTATGTCTGTTTTTTAAAATCTTAATAAATATTATTTTAAAAAACAAAACAAAATGATTTCTTCTCTGCCTTTTGTCAATTGTATTCCTAATATTCTTCCTTCGTCATCTTTAGGTAGGATTTTTGCATCTATCTTTTGGTTTTTATATATATATAACTATTCCTCTCTTTTTGGAAACATCTGAAGCTATGTATTCTGTTCCTAATTTCTTATCTATCAAAACTCTGTCATGTTTCTTTGATATGTGTTTCCTGGAGACCAATGACGTCCCAATTTTTCTTTCTTAAGATACGCTCAGTTTTTTTTCCTTTTTACCTTATTGTTCAAACCATTGATGTTCCACGATATAATGTTCAAATTCATGAATTTTTATTAGACACACAGTCAAATATCAACATCAAATATGGAACTGCACTTAATTACAATAATATAGTTGTGGGAAACTCTGCTTCTTTTCTTATCCTCCTGGACTTTCCTGTCCTCGTTCTCTTTCTTCTCTTTCTCCCCCCACCCAAAAAAATTTGTATTGGATTTCACATTTACCGCATAAACAGGAAGAACAAGAAAAAAGAAAAACATTACAATACACAAAAAAAAAACACATAAAGAAGAATTTCTACTTCCAAATCCTAGTTTCATTTCATTGATAACTGACTTCCTCAAATTCCCTCTACCTGAATTTCGTTATATCACCAGTTTAGCAGTTCTCCAAATTCATATTTTTAATAATATTAACTTCTTTCATTTACTAACAACTTCTCCTTTATTAATATTCTAATCCTTAATGTTTATTAACAACATATTCTTATTCTACTCCTAAACCTAATTGTTACTTCCAAGAAATTTCTCTTTATCTTATAATACAATATTTAGCTAAATAGTCTTTAAATTTCTTCCAGTCCTCTTGTGTCTCCTTTCTGGTCACGGATTCTTCCAGTCAGGCCAGCCAGCTCCAAAAAGTTCAACATCTGCCATTCTTCTATTGTTGGTATCTCTTGAGATTTCCAATTTTAGGCTAATAAAAGTCTTGCCACTGTAGTGGCATACAAAAACAGTCTAACATTTTTTTTTTTTGCAATTCCAGTCCTATTATTCCAAGTAGAAAGGCTTCTGGTTTTTTAATAAATGTATTTTTCAACATTTTCTTTCACCAGCACAATAAGATCAAACACTACAGAGTGGCATCTTGCCATTAAAGTAAGGAGTGTTGGGTTTGGCTGTCCTTTCTTGGTATTAGTTGACATTTTTATTTCTTCTCTATATAAACACTGATGTCAGGATACAGGAAGCTTCTGATTCTAAGCAGCTGCCAGGGTTGGAAGATGGCCCAGAGCAAAGAGAGGGGAGGTTGTCATGGAATCACTCTCCCAGAATGTAGGTGAAAGGCCAAACTCCACTGATAGCCTCTCAGAAATGGCGGGCCAGCCTTCGAGTATTCAAGAGAGTGGAAAAAGGACGCAATTCGTCACAGAGTATGAAGAGAAGTTTCCTCCCACGTTGCATTTGTAGGATGAAACGTGACACTGAGAACTTAGTTGAGTCATCATCGTAATGGCAACCAGCTCGCGGGAGAGGAGCTCCTGGTAATCTGTTCTTTTCTTCGAATAAAACCAACTTTATAAATGAACTGCACTCGTGCGCGACTCACTGCCATGACAACTTACTATCCCTATATATACAGAGGTTCTCTCTAGGTATAAACAGGGCTGGTGTGTTCTCCAAGCTATCCTATTAGCCGATCCCGCCCACAGAGGTATTTTCGCTCTGAGAGATCGGGGGGTGGGTAGTGCTTAAGCGCCCCATATTTAATGTTTAATAACAATTACTGAGTGCTGGGTGGATTCCTACAACAGTATTAAAACTACATGTATTCAACAAACATTGGCCACATGTTATAAAAGGAATATGGATTGTGTTTCCCCACCTTTTGATTTCTCCAGGCAACCAATATTTAAGATACTTAACTTGTGGTGCCCAGAATTGAACACAGTATTCTAGGTGGGGCCTGACCAAGGCAGAATGGAGTGGTACTATTCCTGCCCTTGATCTGATTCTGCCTTCTGCCACATTGGCCTCCGCTCCCCATTTGGTGTCATCCGCAAATGTGATGAGCATCCCCTCAGTTTCTTCATCCAAGTCATTTACAAAGACCTTGAACAACAACGGGCCCAGGGCAGAACCCTGCAGCACCCCTCTTGTCACTTTCCCCCAGGATGATGAGGAACCATGAAGGAGTCCTCTTTGGGTTTGGTCAGTCAAATCCGCCTAACAGTTACCTCATTCAGCAAAGTTTGTAACTCCATCCAAAAAAAGGGGAGGAGAGATTTCTCTGGCTTTACTTGTTTTTGGGAAACCCATACTTTCATCCTCTATGTTTATATTGTGAAATCTTCAGATGAAGGGCACATAAATTTTAAAAATGATAATAAATAAGGATATTGACAAGCTGGAACATGTGCAAAGGAAGGCAATTTATGTCTTTATTTAATTTGTATAATACTCGACCCAGTGGTGCTGAATTGAAAAAAATATTGGTGGGAGGGGCCAGGTAAGGCCTGCCTTGCACAATCAATCACATGATACATGCATGCCATTGGAATGGCGATGCCTACCAACTGGGGGGCCTTCAAATATATTATTGGGGGGCAAAGACCCCTCGGCCTCTAAGGGTAGGCTCCTAATCCCTGCACCCACAGGTCTAAGGATGGTTACAACATAAAAGCACAATATAAAAACACAATACACATCTATAACCCCCTCCCCACCACGTTTTAAAAGGACATTACATGTCAATCAGCCAAAGGCCTGGTTAACAAGGTGCGGGTTTGCCTGTCTCCTAAAGCTGTATAACGGTTTTTCCAACCTTTGTATGGATTCTTTGATGGGAAGTGAGAGAGTAGCTCCGACTAAAGCTCTTTCCGCATTCCACACACTGATAGGGTTTCTCCCCTGTATGAATTTTTTGATGGGAAGTGAGAGATGATCTATGAGTGAAGTTCTTCCCACATTCCACACATTGATATGGTTTCTCGAATGTATGAATTCTGTGATGCTTAGTGAGATCACAGCTCTGACTGAAGCTCTTTCCACATTCCACACACTGATAGGGTTTCTCCCCTGTATGAATTCTGTGATGGGAAGTGAGAGATGCACTTTGACTGAAGCTCTTTCCACATTCCACACACTGATAGGGTTTCTCCCCTGTATGAATTCTGTGATGGGAAGTGAGAGATGAGCTCTTCCTGAAGCTCTTTCCACATTCCACACACTGATAGGGTTTCTCCCCTGTATGAATTTTTTGATGGGAAGTGAGATCGGAGCTCTGACGGAAGCACTTTCCACATTCCACACACTGATAGGGTTTCTCCCCTGTATGAATTCTGTGATGGGAAGTGAGAGATGCACTTTGACTGAAGCTCTTTCCACATTCCACACACTGATAGGGTTTCTCCCCTGTATGAATTCTGTGATGGGAAGTGAGAGATGCACTTTGACTGAAGCTCTTTCCACATTCCACACACTGATAGGGTTTCTCCCCTGTATGAATTTTGTGATGGGAAGTGAGAGATGAGCTCTTCCTGAAGCTCTTTCCACATTCCACACACTGATAGGGTTTCTCCCCTGTATGAATTCTTTGATGGGAAGTGAGATAGTTGTTCCGACTGAAGATCTTTCCACATTCTATGCACTGAAAGGGTTTGTACCCTGTATGAATTCTTTGATGGGAAGTGAGACTCTGGCTGTGACTGAAGCTCTTTCCACATTCCACACACTGATAGGGTTTCTCCGCTGTATGAATTTTTTGATGGGAAGTGAGATGGGAGCTCTTCCTGAAGCTCTTTCCACATTCCATGCACTCATAGGGTTTCTCGCCTGTATGAATTTTTTGATGTGCAGTGAGATGGGAGCTGCTCCTGAAGCTCTTCCCACATTCCACACACTGATAGGATTTCTCCCCAGTATGAATTTTTTGATGGGAAGTGAGATGGGAGCTCTTCCTGAAGCTCTTTCCACATTCCACACATTGATAGGGTTTCTCCCCTGTATGAATTTTTTGATGGGAAGTGAGATTGGCGCTCTGACTGAAGCTCTTTCCACAATCCATGCACTGATAGGGTTTCTCCCCTGTATGAATTCTCTGGTGTTTAGTGAGATTGGCACTCTGACTGAAGCTCTTTCCACATTCCACGCACTGATAGGGTTTCTTTCCAATGAGATTTCTTTGATGGGATGTGGAATGGGAGCTGTGACTGCAGCTGTCTCCATACTCCATATTTTTCCGTGGCTTCTCCTCTCTGGGGATTTTCTTTTGGTCACCCATGTTCTCGATTTCCAATACATCTCAATCTGCAATGGAGGCAAAGAGGGATTAGAGCCTCAAGAACAAATGAAGAACTGAAGGGAGTTGGGTGAGTGTTCATTACCTTTGTTGCTTGTCATTAACCAACATATTTATTATTAGATTCTAATGGTTGTTGAATGTTGCTTTTTTAATATATAGTAGTGGCCAAAATTGCAGAAGCCTTTGGGGGAAAGTGTATTTCAGAGGTTTGATGGCTCATAACAGCCCTTCTTTTGGAGTAATACCGTGAAATTATTTAGCAATGGACAGATAATTTAATCAAGAATGTAATGCAACAAACTTTGTTCAATTATCTGTATTAAATTAAAAAGTCATGGCCAAATAACCAGAAAAAGGAAGCAAACTTGCTTAGGTTGACTTTTGTCAGTGTTACAGGTAGGTAGCCGTGTTGATCTTCCTTAGCCAAAACAAAATAAAAAAATTCCTTCCAGTAGCACCTTAAAGAGCAACTAAGTTTGTTATTGGTAGGAGCTGGTATCTGAAGAAGTGTGCATGCATACAAAAGCTCATACCAATAACAAACTTTGTTGGTCTCTAAGGTGCTACTGGAAGGATTTTTTTTATTTTGTTTTGTCAGTGTGTTATGTGATTGCTATCAAGTTGTTGATTCTTTTGTGTTCTTTCATTTAGCGAGTTTGCAGAACATGATAAAAAAATTAAAATGGCACAAAGAGTTGACTGGTCAACCATAAAGCAACGTAAAATACTACTATTAAGTGAACATGGCTATAGTTATGGAGAAATTAGAAGCAAGATTGGGGGAAATGTAACAAAAGCTGGCCTTTCTATATTTTTGGTGAGGTATAAGGAGACTCAGTCACTACAAAATCAGACTGGTAAAGGCAGGAAAAGGTGCACAACAGCAAGTGATGATCGAAGAATGGAGAGACTGCGAACGTGACAGAAGAAAATCATCTGGGTGTTTACAAGATGACATGGCACAATGTAATGTGAAGTTGAGTGCAAGGACTGGTCTAAATGCTAGAATTCCAAGGGAAAAGCCATTATCTCTCAAGCAAAGGTGGAAAAGATTAAACTGGACTAAAACCCATGTTAACTGGACAGCAGAACAATGGGAAAGTATTCTTTGGAGTGTTGAGACCCAAATCTCCTTGCTTGGTACTAATGGCATGAAATATGCGAGGAGAAGAATCAGATTTGCATCAGGGGTTGGCAATCTGTGGCCTATGGGCCAAAACCGACCCACTAGCGGCCCCCCGAACCGAGCCATCTGTGTGGTGTAGTGGTTAAGAGCGGTAGTCTCGTAATCTGGGGAACCGGGTTCCCGTCTCCGCTCCTCCACATGCAACTGCTGGGTGACCTTGGGCCAGTCACACTTCTTTGAAGTCTCTCAGCCCCACTCACCTCACAGAGTGTTTGTTGTGGGGGAGGAAGGGAAAGGAGAATGTTAGCCGCTTTGAGATTCCTGAAGGGGAGTGAAAGGCGGGATATCAAATCCAAACTCTTCTTCTTCTTCTTCTTCTTCTTCTCAGCAGGTTCCCATGCGCTGCGCTAAACCGGGGCAGCGCAGCACAGGGACTCACTTCTGCGGCGCCAGAAATCACTTCTGCAGAGATGCAGACAGGAGAGATCGCACTCATGCGCGCGATCTTACCCACGGATCCGGTTTGTGGGAGTGAACTGGCCCAGACGGGGTAAGGCTTGCCGACCCCTGATTTATATCCTACTTGCATTACACCGACCATGAAACACCCAGATAGTGTGATGATCTGCGGTTGTATGACAGCAAAAGGTGTGGGCAGAATTTGTGTCATAAAACGGAATGTAAATGCTCCAAAATACATAAATGAAATACTTGAGCCCATACTGAAGCGTTCTGCGTGTGATCTTTTCCCAGATACTGTACTGAACCTTTTTATTTGTTTGTTTGTTTTCTATTTCAGCAGGATTCACCTCCATGTCATGTTGCTGCTGTGTGCAAAAGGTGGTTTCAAGATAATCATATTCCACTGCTGTAATGGCCTGGGAATAGCCCAGACCTTAACCCAATAAAAAATCTATGGAGCCAGCTAAAGAAACTTGTTAGTCAGAAGCAACCCAGCAATAAAGCCCAATTAATAGAGGCAATAATTCCATCTTGGTTTCACATTATTACAGCTGCAGAACTAAGAAACTTGCTTCACTCCATGGGAAGGTGTTGTAAGGCCAGAATTAAAGCTAAAGCTTCCCAAACTCAGTATTAATTGACATGGTGAGAATTTCTGTTAGAAGATTGGCAGATGAAAATGATGGACTTTGCATATCTGGTGACATTGACAGGAAAACCAGCACGATTAAGGATTCCAAAAGGGTTGGAGTAAATTTATACGATATCTGAAAGATTATTGTAAGCAATTAACATCACTAGCAGGGTTGTCTGAAGACTTGTAATGAGAAATTTTCTACCTTTCTATATTTAAATCTTGAGACATTCTGTAATGAGTGTAATAAGAATTGGAAAATGTACAAATTGCAATGATATAAAGGTTAATTTTGAAAGCCATGAGGCGGCAGGGAAGGAAGTTGAGGCTCCAAAGAGCCAGGTGGTATAGCGGATAATGATGATGCGAATGTACAATATTAAATGGAAAATAATTTTAAAAATTATATATATAAGAAAAACCAGTAATTTACTGTTCTAGGTTTATTGTGGGGGTGTTAGGTTCCCAGGTGTTATAGGGGGCGCTGTTGAGCTCTGTGAAAATGTATGAGGTTAGTCACATAGAGGTATTTTTTGAATTTCCAGGCAGATAAGACAGGGAGCCTTACCAAGAGAGGACACGATCCCACGATTCTCCTCCATGATGCCCTTGTGCAGAGCTCTCTGGTCAGGATCCAGCAACGCCCACTCCTCGTCCGTGAAACAAACAGAGATGTCTTCAAAGCAAACTGGACCCTAAAAGAAAAAGGGAAATGTCCTCCTCTGAAACAGGATCAATATGATCTGCTACACAATGCTCTGTTCTTTCCTTCCTCTTAATTGCTGTGTTGTTTCAATAGGATGGTTTTGCTACACATTTTAATTATGGATGCTTATTTTAACACTTTAATGGAATTCTTTTATTCTATGTTTTAATTATGGGCATTCATCTTTGTGCAAATAGGTGGTACTCCTCCTGGTGGTTTTCAAGTTATTCTGCCTACGCAAGCATTCCAGTTTCCCTGATGGAAGGATCCACTTTCTCCTCTCCTAGTGAGTTGTTCTGGGGAGGTTCCCTCCCAATGCCCTAGAGCCAAATTCAAGGGGTTCATGGGGCATCGAGGAGTGGGGGGCAGGCTATATTTCGCAGCAGATGGGGCTGGCTAGGTGAATCCTGGACATTATTTCTTCTCGTCTGCAATGCAGGACTTGATGACCCCTGGGGTCCCTTTCAACTCTAGGATTCCATGAAAACATCAACTACAGATGAATCCTTCAGGCGGCATTCAGAAGGCTGGTGTCACAGAGTTATCTGGGCAGGAAATCCCACACTTCACAGCTGGAGTTAACTCTTTATCAGCAGGAACACGATATTCACAGACTTGGCTGAGTTTCAGGCCTAATGAGAAGAGCAGCTCATTCTCTGAGGGTCTGTCAGTTTGCATTTCTTAGTGCATAAAGTACGGATCTGATATTGATATTTCCTATACTATTTAATTCAAGAGGGTTCTGGAAGCTTCTCTGCGTAAAAGAAACAAGCAGAAAGTTCCTGATGTTTGGGTTATTGCTTCAGAGAAGCTGAGTACAGCTGGGTTAAAGTGGTTCTGTCATTTCTTCTGTCAAGATAAAAAAATTCCTTCCAGTAGCACCTTAAAGACCAACTAAGTTAGTTCTTGGTATGAGCTTTCGTGTGCATGCACACTTCTTCAGATACACTGAAACAGAAGTTGCCAGATCCTTCTATATAGTGAGAAGGTGGGGAGGGGTATTACTCAGAAGGGTGGTGGGAATGGGAGATAGGCAGACAGCTGAGATGAGCCTGTTGACGACTCTTAACGACTGCAATAGGTCTTACAGGAAAAGGCAGGGGGTGATCTTTGTTTTCCCTCTCTCCACCCCCCTTTTCTTCTCTCTTTCTTTTTTCTTCTCCCCCTAATGCCTCAACAAATGAAATGGATTTGTAAGAATGTCAAAGGGAAAAAACAAACAAAAACGAGGCACTACACTTCTGTAAAACAAGAAAACCCTTAATAAAATATTTAAAAAAAAAAAAAGGCAGGGGGTGAGAAGGTGAAAAATGGCTATATAGAAGGATCTGGCAACTTCTGTTTCAGTGTATCTGAAGAAGTGCGCATGCACACGAAAGCTCATACCAAGAACTAACTTAGTTGGTCTTTAAGGTGCTACTGGAAGGAATTTTTTTATTTTGACTATGGCAGACCAACACAGCTACCTATCTGTAACTGGAACTCTTCTGTCAGGGTCATGCTGACTATAAGAAGAGGCCAGAAGGAGACTGGGTTTCAATTTCTCTCTCTTTCTCTCTCTCTCTCTTCCCTCTGGTGTTCTGTACATAGTATGTGTTAAGGTTAAGGTTAACTGTTAAGGTTTAGACTTATAAGAAGTTTCGGTAAATTTAGGTAAGTTTAGGTTAAGTCTGCTGCAACTGGATTTCTTATGGACAGGGCCAATCCTGTACATTTTGGATTTGTGACCAGTATCCTCATTTGTCTTCAGTAGCAGTAAAGCTCTGCTGGGTAAAATACAATTGCCTCTGGTCTATTTTGGGGGATCCTATAACGTGTTTAGGTTTCACTCTGCTAACTATACATTGGAGTTCTGCTCTGGGTCAATATTGAGCAGAATTCCCTGAGCCTCTTCCTCCATGAAATCAGTTGCTGAGAGTGAAGTCCCCTGGCTCCCCACAGCTT